AAAAAAAAAAAAAAAAAGAAAGGCCAGGCGTGATGGTATACACTTGTAGTTGCAGCCACTCAGGAGCCTGAGGTGGGAGGATCACGTAAGCCCAGGAGTTCAAGGCTATGGCAAGCTATGATGATGCCACTGCACTCCAGCCTTGGCAACCTAATCTTAAAAAAAGATAGTGAAATCCACCATGCACTTTCCCATTTCTAAAGACAATGTTTTTTTTGGGGGGGAAGTAAATGGGCCTTGACATAATCTTCTGGAATTAGAAATTTCAGGGTAAAAAGGTTTTTTTGCTTCAGATAGCCTTTTATTTCTGTCATGTCTTTAAATAGAAGGAAAAATTGGGTTTGAAGATAATGGGAGCTTTTGGTAGATTATTTATTTGATGACTTTAGTTTATTTCAGAGTCCAGATTCAGTGGGAATAATAGACTTTTTTTTTAGTAGAGGTGATCCTTGCCCATAGAATATAGAATAGACACAAAGTAAGGGATTTATTCCACACCAATTGAACTTTTGCCTAGTTTTTCTCTACAAATTATGAAGATTCACAGAGGACTTCCTCTGTGTTTGGTTCATTAATATTCCCCTTAGCACTGACAGGCTGAAATTAATGTGAAAAAAACGAAACCTCTTACTGTCCCAGGATATCTTTAACCACTTTGGTGCAGCGCTCACCGGCCGCGAAACCTCGCCCGCGGCGGCACTCACAGTCGGCATGGTAGTCTGTGCTGTGCGTTGACCACACGCCCGTTTTGCTCTAAAGCGGCTAAAGTCTCTGTGTGCGTTCATCTGTGGCTGTTGGACGCTCGTACCAAAGTGGTTAATAGTGAGTTATTCCAGAGGTTTAGCTTCTGAACCATTGCAGAAACTCCCAGGGTAGAGTGTGGAATAGGTTGTCCTCTAGGACTTCCTCCTGTCTCTTACCAGACAACCGGAACCATTGTTCTTTTAATCTATTTTACATATTGGATTTTTGCTTAAGATTTTGTTTGAGCAAGGGTTATGGCTTTAAAAAGCAAGCAAGCTACTGGAGTAGATGGCTTCTCCCTCTACTTTTGCTGTTAAAGGAGAAATAAACTTTTGTTTTTCCCATTTTATTGAGAAGGAATAGTTATTTTAAACCACATATAGGGAGACACTCTGAACCTATTCTGGTTTGGGGACTGCCTGATTCATGAATCATCCTTTGCCCAATTAAACTCTGTCAAATTAAAAAAAATCCACAAAAACAAAACACAGGTAGATCTGTTGTAGGGCTGGGACTCAGTAATCTTGAGTTCTTTTACAGTCTGAACTGGCATAGCCCCAGGCAGCTTTGCACTTCTTAGACTGCTCCCTCTAACAAGAGGGGAGTAGATTTAATCTCTTAACCATTTCGGTACCAGTGTCAACTGTAGTTGACAGCCACAGATGAATGTGCACAGCGACTATGGCCGACAGCCGTTATATGAAGGCGCACAGCCCAGCATCGACTTTAGCCGACAGCTGTGATACGACTTTTCTAATTTTTCATTTATCAAAATAAAATTGTGAACATTTAAGAATAATGTAATGAAAACATATATGTATATGTTTGTTACCTATTCTGATTTACATGACAAGTAAAGCTGCCTGTAAAGTAAAACAAGCTTTCAGTGCTTTAAGGCTTTCTTCGTCACACAAGAGCAAAACAGATTCGTCGTCAATGCACAGCACACACTATTGTGGGGACTATGAGTGCAGCTGTGGGCGAGGTTTTGTGGCCGGTGAGCGCCGTACTGAAGTGGTTAAATTCCATTTAGCTATGTGATTTCTGACTTATCCTTTTTCTTCTGTGTAAACCGTAGCTGCCCTTCCAGCCCCTTTTGACGCACAGCACTGCCATACCTGCTGTCTCAGAACCAGTCACTGAGAAAGACTGCCTTGCAGGTGTGACTCAAGAATTAATTAGTAAATACCCATGAAATGCTTATAAGCTACTGTGCTTTATGCTTTTAGTAGTAGTTAGGAATCCTCATTTTTATTGGCTGGGGTTCCGATAGCAAAAAATTTGTACTAACCAAAGGAAGCTTCAGTGCACTTTCAGGGGTAGAGGAGAGATTCCAAAAACTATCATAGGGTACTCAAAACATGGGATTTCCTATGGCCAGTGTTTCTAGGGCTTTCTGTGAGAACACTTATTTGCTGATGCTATACTTTTCTGTGGTCTCTGTAGAGAATCTTGATAATCTTGAAATGTGGGATCTGACTCCAGATGGATTGGACAGTGCTATCAAGCCCTTGTTTGGACCAGAACCACCCCAGACATCTGAGACACTAGCATTGAACAACCAGATGGTGACCTGGAACAGGACCCCACACAATGCTTGCCACCAGAAACCACAAGCAAAATCTAGACCCTGGCAACCCCAAACTTACAGCACTAACCAGCATGTAACAGGTAGGAAGAGAGAAGTGTTTTGTTTAGGAACAAAAATTAACTCTGTGAATTTTAAAGGAAGGATGACAATTAAGTTGGATAGAATCATTCCAAGGGAATAAACAGTGTAAGTAGAAGATAATTGATTTAAGAGCCAGAACTTTTCCTGTGGGCTCCTGCTTTCAGGTGCAGCCTTTGACAGTAGCAGGAAGCTTGAGGATGAGTATGTTGAGCTTTTCATAGGGATAAGGTAGGTCCTTCATGAGTGTGATGCCATTTGGTATAGGGTTATTAGTAAGAGGGCTCAGCTTTCCTCCTAACAATAATTTTCATTTGTGGGCTCTTAGTCTAATTAGGATCATTAATACAATCCAGAAATTATTAACTGTAAGTTTATTCCTTATTTTTAAAATCATGGCAGTTACTTTTAAGCCATTTTATTATCCACAGGTAACTGGGAATCTCTTAAGAAGAGCCAGGACATGAAGAAAAGGAAATTGGATCCATCTTAACTGAGGCTCAGCCTATATCACTGGACTCTTGTCACAAAGGGACTTTGGTCATCATTCCTGGGGAATGAACTTAATTTCTAAGGAAATATTTTGCTTCATTCTGAACCCTATCAGAGGTTTGACTATGAGTCTACTGTAGATAGAGCTGAGCACCTTTAAGAAGCTTATCACATACTGCAGGGGGGAGGTACTGGACAGATGAAATATCTTTTCTTTGGCTCTTGTGGCTTTCCACTATTTATTTTTAAGCTTTTATGTTAATAAAGATAGACATTTTGGGAATCACCACTGGCTGCCTGCAATCAAGCAAGACAGGCTAGAATTGGTACTAAGCATGAGCTTTAATAATTGCCTACATTAAATCCTTTTGAGTAATCTGTTTTCTTTCCTTTCAGGTCTCCATGCTTTTAATGTTGTCCACATAAGGACTGTAACACATCATGATAGGAACAAGGTTGCAGTAGTGCTTTTTACTACTTCTATCCATCGAGACTACCATCTTCATCTAATATTTAATATAATCTCTAATTTTTGGGTTTATGACATCATAATCCTACATTATTTCAAGACCAACATTTTTGCTAAGCAAGGAAAAGGCATTTTCAGAAAGCAAATCCTCTATTTTAACAAAATGGAAAATATTGTACAGGCTGAATACCCCTTGTCTAAAATGCATGAGACCAGAGGTGTTTTGGATTTTGAAATATTTGCCTATACATTGAGATATCTTGGGGATGGGAACAAGTCTAAAATGAAATTCATTTGTGTTTCATATATATCTTATACACATAGTCTGAAGGTGATTTTATATAATATTTTACATAATTTTGTGCACAAAACAAAGTTTGTGTGCAAGATATGTTGCAGCTGGGGCTGGGAGGGTTTTTACCCTCGGGGCTGAATAAACTGTTTTGTGTGTCTGTTTTGACTACAACCTGTCACATGTGGTCAGGGGTGGAATTTCCCACTTGTGGCATCATGTGGTACTCAAAAAGTTTTGGCTTTGGGAGCATTTGGATTTTGGATTAGGGATGCTCAAACACTAACTGCTTTCATTTCCCATTTCAGATGTGAGATGTAATCTACCTTAACAGAAATTGGTTTTACAGTGTTTAGATCAGGCGCCCTCAAACTATGGCATGCGGGCCACATGCCGCCCGCCTAAGACATTTATCCGGCCCGCCGGGTATTTTTGCCACTGCTGCCTGTCCTGCTTAGCAGCCAACTCATCCCGGGCCCACAGTGCGCACTCTCCAATGGTCTGAGGGACAGTGGACTGGCCCCCTGTTTAAAAAGTTTGAGGAGCCTTGGTTTAGATGTTTCAGAATTCTTTCCCCCAAATGATGAGTTTGCAATCTTACATTTTTAGGTGGATTTTGGGCTGTGCAGTGCCTAATCTTGAAGCAGTAACTTCTTATTTTTGGATCACAGACCCATTTGTGGGAGGCTGTGACTGAGGGAAGGAACTCTTAACCACTTTGGGACCAGCGTCGACTATAGTCAATAGCCACAGATGAACACGCACAGCAACTTTAGCCGACAGCCGTGATACGAAGGCGTGAAGCCGAGCGTCCACTTTAGCCAACAGCCGTGATATGACTTTTCTAATTTTTCATTTATCAAAATAAAATTGTGAACATTTAAAAATAACGTAATGAAAACATATATGTTACCTATTCTGATTTACATGACAAGTAAAGCTGCCTGTAAAGTAAAACAAGCTTTCAGTGCTTTAAAGCTTTCCTCGTCATACAAGAGCAAAAGGGATAAAAGACTACCACGCGGACTGTGAGTGCCGCTGTGGGCGAGGTTTCACGGCTGGTGGGCGCAGTCCCGAAGTGGTTAAGCAGCAGTTGACCATTTCTATTCCTTTGGAAGATGAAGAGCTTACCCTGACTTCCCTATCTTCTAAAGGCTTTTACTTTACCTGCTGTTGCACGGATTTGGTCATATATTCAGCTTTTGATTTTGATATCCTTACCATTTTCCTTAGGAAAAAATATCACCTTTGTCTGCAGTATAATCTTAATTCAGGGCAATACTGTTGCTTAAAAAAAAAACAAAACTCCTGGGAATTAGTAATCCAGTTTTAAGTTATACATGACTCAAAATAATGCCAATGAGAATGTGAAAAGGGAATTTGCTGGAAATGAAACCTCACAGCTCAACAAAAGCAAGTTTGGTTTATTTGAATGGTTTCATTAAATAAGTCTACAAAGGTAACAAACTGAAGCACAAAGCGCAATCTTACAAGAAGCGCAACACCCAGAGTTAGTGCAAAATGTACAATTAATGGCTGCTGAGAAACCCCCAACGTTTGAATTCAGTTTGTTTTTTTAAACAGTGTACATTGTTAAATAATGTAAGGAAAACATTTATAATTCAGAAAGATTTTTTTTAATGTGGAAAAAGATACTCAGTGTACTATTAACACAAAAATAATTTAAACAGTTCAGTAGCACTAGTTCATTCCTCTAGGCTTCAGTTATTTCATCCACAAGAGGGGAAAAAAATCAATAGTAAATAAAATCAGTTCTTACTTTTTGTGTATGAGTGAAAAGATCTCAAAATTATTAAACCAAAATAACAAAACAAGAATGTGCTGCATTTGGCTCCCTCATTCCTCTGGGATAAAAGTTTTTTGTTCCATTGGTCTTAGGTGGTCTACTTCTCATTTACTCGGTACTCTCTCTGTGCTATCCTTACTCTTACCCTCTCCCCAAGAATTACAAGCAGAGAATAAGTAACAGTTTTAATGCAGGGCTTGAAACCGCTGGCCTTTTCAATTCTACCTTCCTAAAACCCTCAGCTCTCTTTTGTGTCTTGGTCCTAGGCCACACAGTAAAGAAAATAGGCCCATAAGGAATGAATAGGACTCGGCTCTTCCTACCCTTGTGATTCCTGGGATGTGCCAATGGAGGGGGTGGGGAGTGAAAGGTTGGGAATATGTCAGCTTCTCAACTAAGAGTCAAGAGAAGAAGCACCCCAAATTCAGAGTCCTAGCTTCTTTATCCATCTTCAGAGATAATAGAGTTCCCAAATATAGCCAATTAGGACAGTATTTCTGGAAAGCTCTGAAAACAATAGAACTGCCCATTACAATTAGGCATAGCACTAAATAATACTGGTTGGTTGCAGTTATTATTTAAAGGAAATATTTATATGAAAATGAGAATATTAGTTATAACTTTAGAAATAAAGGTGGCCCAATAGAGCATAATCCTGCAACCATTTGGATACCATAGAGGAAATGGGTAGGAATAAGCATTCTTTTTGGCAATGCTTATTAAGATGTAGAAAGATTCATTTTCCACAAAATATAGTACCCTAAGCTGAGAAATGCATAGTACATGTGCAAGGGGAAAGCAATCCAAATAGTTCTTCTTAGAGCGACTTTCTCCATCTGTGGCTTTTCACTATCATGTTTTCCAATGTAAAAACTAACCGCCACCCCCTTCTCTTTATGTTTAATTTCTTCTAGATCTTGTCTGTTCAAGCCCAGCTCAAATAAGTAAGGTTTATGACAGTCACTGGCTGGGCATCAAGTGTCTTCTAAACAAGTTTGTTCCCCCATTCTTTAGTCTTTCTTTTTCTTTCACTGAGCACACACCACACTCAATCTTTTAAATTGCCCAATTTTGTTATAATGCCCCTCCCTCAACTATTCCTGAAAGAACCTTCTGCTTTCATCCACTGATGCCAACTTAACTTCTCACCTGACTCATCTTATACCTGTTCTAGACAAAATTGTTGAATGACTTAAACAAAAAATACTCTTTCAACTTCCCTTTGGCATATCCACTGCTAGGGTCACATGGACCTACAATTTCCTTCCACATGCCCTTTGCTGTTCTGGGGTCTGATAAGTTGATGCTAATGGCAGAAGCAATAGAAGTCCAAGGCACTAAAATGTCCAGCAAGCAACACTGGGAGAACAGAAGTATTCAAGTACGGTAATTTATACAATTTTACATTCACATTTATTTATCTAATACAATGGAAATACAAAGGAAAAAAGTTAAAGTGTCTCAATAAGTAAAGGACAGAGCTAGCTTTTTTTGGAACTTTTTTAAACGTTTCATATTTTACTTTTAAAACTACTGTTGTCCAACAACATTTATATAATATCACAGTGTTTCCACATCAAAACTGATGGCAAAGTTACATGTCCGCAGGGAACTTAATTTTTTTCCCTAATTGCTAATGCTGCAGTCAAAGCTGCTAATATCTTTTGCCTAAAGCACTAATGACCTATCATAAGGGTTACACCCCCAGTCCCCTGGTATTTTCCACTGGGTTCTAAAAAGCAAAGAAAAACAAAAAGAAGGGGTGGTGGGGGCGGGGGAAGAAGGATAGGAGCAAGGTAGGAGATAGCCCAATAGCTTTTTTGTGTGTGTCTTGTGGTTTGGACTGTTGAGGGAGAGTAAGGGATTCAGGGCATGTAGCAAAATTAGGAGCTCCACCCACTTGAAAATACAGATGGGGTTTGATTTTACATAAGCTCTCTAGTAGCTTACTAATGAACAAGATTCTCTTTCCTCGCCCAAGCCCTCACAGTTGGGTATAGAAGAACAGGAAAGCATGGTCTGAAGCTGCCCCTTCACACAAGAAAGCTGTTCTTGTCCCACTCCAATAAATGGAGGGGAAGATACTCTTCATTCTGTGGGCTGAAAGCGGTATTAAAACATTCCCTTCTGGCAAGAAATAACCAGTTAAATGCAGCACTAGTAGTTAGTAAGAGGCTACTTTCCCACCCCTCCCTCCATCAGCATTCCATCCCCTGTCCCCAGATCTACTCAGTTAATGGCTTTAGGTCTGACTAAGTGGTCCGCAGGTTGGAACCTGGGGGATTGCTGATGGATTTCTGCAAATTGCTGATGTTGAAATTCTGCAAGGAGGCAGTTCCCACAGGTTGGAACTGGCTAAGTGGCTGTGGTGCTGGGCCACCTGTCCCACTCCACTGAGCGCCAAATGGGGCAGCTGGAAAACCGTACTGCTGTGGGGGGCACAGAGACTTGGTGAAGTGACCTAGAGAGGTAGCTGATGCTGCAGAGATGGGGGCAGAGCCACCCAGGTTTGAGGTCATGGAGATGCACAGCTGCCCAGGTGCAGAGAACTTCCTTGCCATTCCAGGGCCCTGGAAACAAAACCACCATATGTAAAGTCTGGTGTGGGCTTAACACCCATGGGTATAAAATGGGCAGCACCAAAACACACATCTATTTTGTAGGGTATGTAAAATGAAACAAAACCTTCTACAGTATTTACTGGCTCTTTATATTTACCAAGTAAGAGTGAAAATGACTCTTCTGATTAGACAGGAGGGGTGTTATGTGTATGTGCATGTCTGCACATGTAGTTCAGGATGTTGAAGGAAAAGGGAAGAAAAAACTGAGCTGATCTTAAGAGGCTAGCAATTCAGGGAAGGAAGAATAAAAGAGTATGTGGGTGCTTTTTGCCTTGTTTATCTAAAGAGTGTTAAAGTTCATGAGCTACTAAAGAATGTCATGGCATAAAATGTTAAGTAGCTTAGGTAGCTTATCACCTTGGATTTAGCTGTGTGTTAAGTGATACTCTGATAGATTAGGTCTAATGGCAAAAGGGGAAGACTTACCTCATAATTCATATGTCCTTTGCTTCCTCTCCTGCCTGAAAGATTCATGGCATCTCGGGCCCAGTTGTCTACCAATTTGTGCAGGTCATCTGTGAATGTGCCCTTCCTGCTGGATGTCATGGCAGGAGGCTGAGCCTGGGCGGCTTGGCTGTTCACTGTCCCCCCGACGGTGTTTGTGCTGCTGGTCCCTAGAGTTATAAGGAACAGAATATAAGCATTAAAAGGAGCCTGGGTTATAATTTCAGGAAGAGGGAAAACTTTACAGGATAATGAATGGCAAACCACAGAATGGGGAGAGGATGAACTGGGAAGCCATGCAAGAAAGGAAGATTTTTCTAAGGTTTTATTTAGCCATTTGTTTTGGTATAAAAGGGTAATAAAAGCAGTTTCTCTTCAGTAGCTGCAGATAAGGCTGAACAATTCAGGATGATGGTAGGTACAAGGGCAGGGACCTCTTTCAGCCCCTTCACAAAGCATCTTAGAGTACTGAAACTGCCTGCCAGTACTCTATGCCCAGCATCATATTGATGAGGGAGAGGTGAAATGGTCAACAAGACTAGTTAATCTGGAATTTTTGCCTTGTTTATCTAAAGAGTGTTAAAGTTCATGAGCTACTAAAGAATGTCATGGCATAAAATGTTAAGTAGCGGGGCCAAATAATTGGATTTCTTTTGCATTTGGCTGGGTTAAAGCAGGAATAGGAATGCAAAGATAGGTGCTTGGCCAAGGAGAAGATGGGGTTCCCATACTATGTGGACTCTGCCACATTCTTTAAAATAGAAAGAGGTAATAAGTAGCATGCTCTGTACAGAAAACTTTTTCACCTGGACCCATAAACATGAATTTGTAAACATAAACCTGGTTAAGAGTTAAGCCTTCAACCTCTCCCAATTTCCAACGAGTTAAAGACCAAGATTACTCATGAGGAAGGGACTGCATGGTGTGCCTGAATCTTTCAACTCCAGGAAACATGCTTTTCCTGAAGATGACCTCAGTTTCAATTGGTTCCAGGATTCTCACCCCTTCTCCCCAATCTTCCCAGAACACTATGTAGAAGCAACAGGAAAATGCAGCTGAGGCAGGGTGCAAAGGAAAGGAGGAAGCTTTGAGGTTGTGATGAAGGAAATCTATTTCTATGGTTTGATGAGAAAGGAAGGAGTCTGTGTCCTGCCTGATTTCGGTTCTGCTGAAGGGCACACTGAAGATTATTCGAAGAGGCACGTATTAGGGAAGAGGGAAAGAAGAGTCATGGTCTTGTTTTTTTTCCTCTCACCCCCCACTTTCTTATCAGATCTCACATTTGCTATAGAATAAATAAAATCTACTAAAAAGTTAAGTTGTGAGACACTAGGCCTTAAGATACCCAAGTAATGCTGGGGGCTAAATAAGTGCATGTGTTTTCCTGCTTTCAAGGTCAAAGCAGCACCAGAGCACAACACCTAATGCAACCCTGCCATTTAAAAGCCCATTATTAACCATTACTGGTCTCAAGTCAAGTTTATATCTTACCACCCAGGGAATGGCACACAAGCATATCTGTGCTGGACTAACAGCTAATTCTGAGGTGAAGTGCAGAGTAAAGAAGGTCATATGCGTCTTACCACCATGGCAAGATATAGAACTAAGGCAGTGTGCATGTCAGCTCACTTCCTGGTGCCCGCTTGAGCCACAAGGGGATTGCTATCACATACAGTGTAAAGGGAAGAGTAACTTCCCCTATAGAACAGGAACCCAAGTGGAAAAGTATTAAAGCACAGGAAATAGCCTTCTGCAAACAGCAAATGTGAGATGGAGGTGAAGTGGGAAGCATAGGCAATGAGGATGGGCAGTCATGACAGTGACTAAGGAAAGCAAGCATATCACATGCACAAGGACTGTCACCCTGTGTGAATGATTATTACTTGGTGAGCTTGATGTGAGAGATAACCAAAACAAAAGCCAGAAATAATCGTGGGAGAGCAGGGCTGTCAGAAGCTAAATACAAGGAACTCAGGAGAGGTGAGCACTGCTTGTTCACAAGAGCTTATGCTGGGAGTCACACCTCTCCACTGTGGTGTTAGTCGCCCTTGGTACTGTGAGGCCCCTTTACCAAATTTCATCTTTAATTGTAATCTGTATTACCCAATACTGGACTCTGAAAGTGGGGTTTATCCCAAGAGGAAGAGTTAACTATACAGTTAAACCTTCTTATTCTGGCTCCTGTGAACAGGCTTCCCGGTTAAAGAAAGAAACAAATGCATCCCTTTCTGACTAGAAATTAATTCCTAGGAAAAGCAGACTTGACCATAAAAGCTATTATAGTGGAGAGGACTTCTATAGAATGTGCTAGTCAGTCTCTAAACCTTTTAGTTCTTCAACAATAATCTATTATGAAGCACAACACTGCCCAGTACCCAAGTATGGAGTTTTCCTGTTGACCCTCTCTAGAACCTTGTAGGTAGCCTGCTGGGTTGCAACTTTAATGAGAAGCCATCAGTCTAAGAAGCCAAACTCTACAAAGTAGTATTTCTCTCCTCACCAATCTAGCAGACATCTCCCACTACATGGACTTTCATATGCTTTCATCCTGCTGAGTTTCCAGTGGGGAGTTTAACAGTGCCTGCCACTTATCTGCTGGCTAAAGGGCTCTCTTTCCCATAGGAGCTAGGTATCTCTGACCTCCCTATACACATCCATGGGCATCACCAATCTATGACTAGGAGACTATTCACAGATCTAGGCTCACATGGGGTCATCACTGATAGCACTGACTAGGAGGTGGTCTCTCAATCTGAAAGAATAGCTAGTAGTTAGCAATTAAGCATGTTAAAAAACATATTAGAAAAGGGCGCAGAGACAGATGGAAGTTAGGAATCAGGGAGCTCTGAGGCTTCAGAGTTCAAAGAACTTATAGATAACAGGTGTTGCAATCAAGGACCAAAAGTAACAGAAAGAAAAGATAATTACTACAGAGCTGGTTGCAAGGACAGACTTTTTTCACCATCTTCCCTGAAGCACAAAGAAAGAAGCAATGTGTTAAAGATAAAGAAACATCGGTGTAAAATATTTAGAATCTTAAACAGCACACAAAGGCCCAGCAAGAGAAAGCAGGAGGGGAGACAGATGGGTAGTCCTTGCCATAGACATAGGTTTTTTTCCTTTTATTCTCCTCCTCTATTCTGAAGGAACATAGACACAGTTCTATGGGATACAAATGTTGAGTTTCCACATCCAATCTTTGTATCTAAAAGAGTAATGCCCTGCATTATAGCTCTGGAATGGGGGGAGGAATGCCAATCTCTTAGGTCTCACTGCTTGAATTTCAAATACCCAAGCAGTGTTTCCACTGACCCTGTCTCACTTCCTGTTTCTCCAGCTGGGTTGTTAAAAAGCACTTAATTAAATGCATTAGCAATCTTACCACAGTAGGCTGATAGATGGATATTACCATTGTTACAGTTTTAAATTTCTTTAAATTGGTTATTACAGTTCCACATCCTAGACATACATACCAATCCCTTCCTTTCCAGAAAAATCTTTAAAAGTATGTGGAAAACAAGCAACCTCTGAACATAAACAGAGCAGTAAGCCAAGCTGTGCTTCCAAACCATTATCTATTTTGAGAGCAGAGAATAATATATAAGATCCCTACCCTTTTAAAGTACTTGTTTTCTTTTTTTTTTTTTTTGAGACAGAGTCTCACTTTGTTGCCCAGGCTAGAGTGAGTCCGTGGCGTCAGCCTGGCTCACAGCAACCTCAATCTCCGGGGCTCAGAGATCCTACTGCCTCAGCCTCCCGAGTAGCTGGGACTACAGGCATGCGCCACCATGCCCGGCTAATTTTTTGTATATATATATTTTTAGTTGGTCAATTAATTTATTTCTATTTTTGGTAGAGACGGGGTCTCGCTCAGGCTGGTTTCGAACTCCTGACCTTAAGCAATCCGCCCGCTTCGCCCTCCCAAAGTGCTAGGATTACAGGCGTGAGCCACCACGCCCGGCCCTAAAGTACTTGTTTTCTTTGCATATTTCTTCATAATCTTTTTTTTTTTTTTGGTGTGGATACAGGGTCTTGCTATATTGCCCAGGCTGGTCTCAAACTCCAGACTTGCACGATCTTCCTGCCTTGGCCTTCCAAATTGCTGGGATTGCATGAGCCACTATAGCTTGCCTCCACATTTCTTTAAGTCTGCCTCTTGGATTTGCTGACCAGGCTTACATGACCTTTCCTGATGTGCCTACAACAGATGTAGGGCCTCTTGTTTTAGACCCAAAGGGAAGTGGTAAGATTTAATATTTCTAACAACTTTCATTTGAACAACAGGGGAAATACTACCTACTTTTAAGTGTGGGATAAGAATTTATAGAATTAACTGAAATTATAGAATTTACCTGTCACATTACACTTAATAAAAAGAAGTCTTGGTTCTCTTTCTTCCCTCTCAGACATTTCAGGCTGTGTATGATAGGTCTGATATCTCACATTCTGGTTCAAAACCCTTGCCTCCTACTACTAATGTACTTTCATCTTTTTAGCTGAACATGCAAATTAAATGTTTATTTAAGTGTCAAGTGCTAGGCATAGTCCAGGTTAGTCTAACCAGAAAAATTATTGATCTGGGTGTTCAAATATCATACATGCTTGGAAAACTACCAAATTGGGTAATGTCTTCTACCCCTTTCTTTGTTAAATAGCCCTGGACTAGTGATTGTAGGGGGAAGGCAGTAAGAGACTGCCTCAAGTACAGCCAATCCATTACTAGTTCAGGTAAAGAAAATAGCAGTACTGGAAAGGTTATAAATGTGTGAGTAAGGGAAATGGAAGTTAATGTGTTGTACTTCCCTTTAAATCTGGTCACTACAGAGAACAAAGGGAGGTGTAAATCCTTTCCACCATGAAGAGGCCCAAAGACCACTGGACCAAACTTAGAAACAGTGAAGGCCTTAGCACATGCATTTAAAAAGCACTTCAATAACCACATCAGAAGTTTGAGGCCTTAATAGAGAAGATCTTTCACCAAATTCTAAAAAGATTTTTTTGCTTGAACTATGTTTCTGTTTGTTTTTTAAACTATTATTTCAATAAACATTTATTGACTACCTGCTTAGGTGCCAGGGAGGCACTGGCTAACTCAAGGGAAACCATGCATGCACTTCCCAAATGCTACTTGTTTTGGTGTAACTGGTCTTACTTGACTTATACAACAACCCTAGGACATAGGTCATGTCTTCATTTCACATATGGGGAAGAAGGGTGACTTGCTATTGTGCCTTGTTTTTAAGCAGAAAGCTGGGAAATCCTAGCAATTATGTTAAAAAGACAATTTTCACTTGTAGGTACTGGGCTTTGGTCTTTAACAGAATAAATGCTTTATCAGAATAACCACTTTTTGAACTATTGATTTTATAGGTTTTGAGGGCAGTGGTGATCTAATGAAGAGATTCTAGCATCTTTTCAACTGGTAGATGTTTAGGCTTAATTGTGGAAAAGAATGGAAAAAATAGGGTATAACTTTTACCTGCTGCCAAGATCTAAGTGCATCAGTGGTCAAGATGCTGTCACTTCTAGTGGCAGGGCAGTGAGACGAATATGACCGTAGAGTGTAGTCTTCCCTATTCTAAATAACCCAGCAGTCTACAGACTTGATACCCTCTGTCACAGCTCTATGAAGAAACAATTCTACCAGAAAGTTAGAGTGAAGTTTGTAGAAGCTTATTATCATTTCTAAATCTTTTATAATTGATGTGCAGACCCAAACTTCTGAGGGTAACAGTAATTCAGCCAAGCCACTGAGTAGATGATATACAGAAAGAGACAAATAAAAATGGACTGTGTGAAACATCAGATCCGAGCAGCAGAAAAACAAGGACAAGGAAGGAGTAAAGGTGTTACACACAAAGAGCCAAGCAGGGCGTACTCAGAAATCGGGTCCTCCTGCCACCAGGTTTGAATGTCACCTGTTCAGATGCACAGTTAAACTTCGCACAGCCTGTGAGGGGAAAAACAAGGAAGAACAGAGAGAGAGGAGAAGAGACAGAACACAGCTACAAGATGTTAGAAACTTGAGGCTGGAGTGGTGAAATGCACTAAGATGGTACACAAAAGAACAAGCTTCTGGAAGAAAGTCACATATGTAAGACTGGAAATACTAGGTCTCAATTCTTTTCATGCAAAATACTGATGCTTTTCTCAGTTGGAATAAAGCTACTTAGTTTGTGCTTCTTACTAGCCAAGTACATTCATCTTGTGAAGAGACAATCTAATCTCTTATTTCAGTGAAACTGGCAAAGGGACTTGAGCTACTTACCTATATTTTTTTTCATTCTCTTCCACCCATGATACCTAATTCCTTTCAATTCTTGTTCTAATGTTACTAGAAGCTCTTTCCTCTGCAGGAATGTTTTCATCAATTATTAGCAAACAAAACTATATTTGGAAAGTAGGTAACTGTAGGGCTATTCATTTTAGTATGCCACTCCCATACTTAGAAGTTACAAAAGGCTACACTGGCTAAGAAAATGCATTAGCTTTCAGAACTGCTAAAACTCCCTAGAATTTCCCAGTATTAAAACATAAGTGCCAAATCCCAAATGAGTTATCATATAGGTTGCAGATGTAACTTCTTACTGTAATCCCTTGAAAAAAAGCCATTTCACCTGATGATACCAATGAACCCACCAATTCTAATCATTTTACTCAATTGCACTTTTCAGCCCAAAGATTAAGTGTACAACTCACAGGCTGTGTTCTAGTCAGCTGGTCTTTCATCTGACCTTAACAATAGGTTATTCATCAGGCTTTTGTCCCAGGGATGGCAATATCTCCATGTTAATGTTTTTGGAAGATGATGGTTGCTTTGATTTCTTACCTTGACCTGGAGCAGAAAGGCTTGGTACTGAAATGGCACCATCACTGGTGAAGGCTGAATAGAGGTTGTCACTAGAGGGAGATGGCTTAAGGGGCTGTAATAGCTGATTCTGCCCAGACTCTGGGATGTTGCCAGGAGGGTGGAGGGTCTGCTGGGGGTGCAAGACTGAAGCTGCACTCTGACCAGACACGTTACCTGCCAAAAGATAAAGTGGCGTGAGGAAACACATCCAGCTTTCCCCCAATGCACTCAATAGGCATTGTTCTTATTCCTTCAATTTGTCCCACTGAGTGATTAACAATGGGCAAAAGCTATAAGTTGATGAAAGATCAAAGTCCTCACAAACAAAAAGGGAAATGAGGAATGACACTAAGAGTCAACAGGCAATAGGGATATATGAATTATCCCAGAAGCTTTTTAGCTTTAGAAAACCGAGATGGTCCACAAGCCTGAGCAGAATAAGACTAGAATATGCAGTGGATATTTGGCAATTCCACAATGGCTTTTTTTTTTTTATCCTATTAGAAAAGATATTGAATTATAATATAAATGGGTTTATTAGGTAGTCTCTGCTTAGACTTTCTTGTAAATACGCATCAGATCAGATACAAAAGAGATGTCAAAATATGTGATTACAGAGCAATGAATGTTTAAAATTATTCTTAGTAGGTGGCTTTCGATCACTAGGTCAATTGTCCTAAAATTGATTAACTTCTCTGTTCCCTAGTTACTATTTATAGTTAAATAGAAGTTCACTCAAAAACTATGGCAAAATTGGGGTCAGAATCTGACTGGGATCAGATCAGAGATCAGATGAACTCTCTTACAATCACATTTCTATTGACTGGTTTCACGAATTGGTTCAAATGTGCTAGAGGAAAGATTTGGGCATCTACGAAAGCTTCCATAGAATGGAGCTGCTAAGAAGTTTGCAACTGCTTTCTAATATACTTTAGCTCTCTTTTACTTTTGAACTAATTATCTGTTAACACTGCCATAATTTCACCAAAGGATAAAAGCTCTTTATTTTCTATTTAAATAGACAAACTATAGTTCCTTACAAGAGATTATGAGTTAACTATTTCTTTGATTATAACCACTAGCAAGTTCTTTATCCCAACATAGATATATAAAATAAAAATTCTAATCAAGGAAGTTACCACTTAGACACACTCAAGTACCCATGGCATTTACATTCATCTCAGTTGAGTTCATCTCAGTTGCAATTATGATGAACTCAATCATTAAAAGGAAGAATCTACCTAAACTTTACTAAACAGAGAATAATGTATTTTCCTTCAATTGCTCAAGAGTTTGGTTAAATGCTGTGAGTTAATGGGAAAAGCTAAATGTTTTTCCTTATGAACAACTATAAATGATGATTACCAGTACATAGCAATATGGATTACAATGGAATAAACCTTTGTACTTATCCAGTTTACTTCCATAGACTCAAAAAGAGGCACAATAAATATGGGGAGAGGGGAAGTCAAGGAAACAAGGATATTAGGAAAACCTTTGAAATTTAACAAAAATAACATGTTTAATAGATGTTATATATGTAGTTGAAGACAGAAACAAAAGATGGGACACCCATGGCTGACCTGGCCTAGGGTTTTTTACCTGAAAGCTGGGGGCTTTTATTCCCCAAGGAACTGCTGCGACTAGATTTGCTGCCTTTGCTTTTCGTGAGTCGCCTTCTTCTCCCTGAAAGGGGAGCAGCTGGAGGAATAATGACAGCAGGGGGAACCTTGCCCAGCTTGGTATATAAAGATTCAATTTCATGCTTCTGGCGACTCTGCAGGTCCTGAATCTCTTTAAGATGTCTATGAATGATAAATCAAACAAATATAACCCTCTTTATTCAAACAAGAAAGAACTAACAGCATAGTCTTAAACCTGTATCCAAGTATTTACTAGTTACTAATGAACCTTTTCTCCAAATGTTCTACACAAAACTCTGGCTTGTCAACTCACCTTGCTGGCCTCCATTATCCAAGCCATATCCCAGCAAGCTCCTAGCCAACAACAAATGATTGATAATGTGTTAGGGGAAAAAGAATTCCTGACTTTTGAGGCCATGTGCAGGACACCTGAATTTGCTACTCTGATCCAATCTGCCAAATATAATTAACAAAACTTGACAACAGACCAGGCGTGGTGGCTCACGCCTGTAATCCTAGCACTCTGGGAGGCCGAGGAGGGCGGATTGCTCAAGGTTGGGAGTTCGAAACCAGCCTGAGTGAGACCCTGTCTCTACTAAAAATAGAAAGAAATTAATTGACCAACTAAAAATATATATACGAAAGAAAAAAAATTAGCCGGGCATGGTGGCACATGCCTGTAGTCCCTGCTACTCGGGAGGCTGAGGCAGCAGGATCGCTTGAGCTCAGGAGATTGAGGTTGCTGTGAGCTAGGCTGATGCCACGGCACTCACTCTAGCCTGAGCAAAAAAGTGAGACTCTGTCTCAAAAAAAAAAAAAAAAAACCAAAAACAAAAAAACTTGACAACATAATCATACATCCTAGTGCCATTACTGGATTAATATGGTAGGCTAATAGCCAAGAGTGGTTAATGGTGATAAAAAGTACCATTAATAAAATACTTATATCATGTATATTATATCACTGCTATTATAGTAGTAATTCAAAGGTGCTAGAGAAGTCCTTTAACTAGAAATGCTACCAGTCCTTCTGAGTGTAAGAGAACCTAATGAACTACAGTCAGGGAACTTTAGCTTTTGCATATCTCCTGCTCTTTAAAAGAGAGACATCAGCATATTGTAGTGAAAAGAATATTCATTCTAGCACTAAGATCTAGGTCTTAAAACATTATCTGCCATTATTCTTTCATAGGAGAAAATATATTTACTTTTCTCGTAGTCTTCGCAGCTCCACCTTTAAGTCTTCATCTTCAATGTCTGATTCGTTGTCACTACTCATGTAAGAGGAGTTGAATGAATTACTAAGACTTTGACTTAGACTCTGGATAGGAAGGCTCTTTGAGCTCAGCTGATGCGGGGAGTGTGGACTACTACCTGAACCATCATCCACATCCCTGCTTAGAAAGGCAGCCTCCAGGTCAGAAGATGGCCCATTTAGATGTGAAGGTTCTGACAGTTCAGGCTTTTCTTTCTTTGGTATCACAGCAGGAAGAACAGCTTGTTCCAAATCCATATAATGAGATGTCACTGGTCCCTCATTTTTTGCCTCAGCAATCTTGTCCTCAGTTTTTGATACAGAGAAACGACCCACTTTGTTTGCCGTAGTTGTCACCTGAAAACGCCCAACCTTGGTAGGCTGCCCAGTTTCTGACTTTGTCTCTGGGGCTAGAGTTTTGGGGGTACTATCTGGCACATCTGAAGAGATACCATGAGCAGTTACCCCATTAGGCTCTTGCTTCACCATGGTACTCTCTGGACTACTACTTGATAGCACTGAGGACTCTGAAGTGCTGGATTCAAAATGAACAGACTTTGCATCTTCTGGCTTATTTTTACCCTCTTTCTGGGCATCATCCATTGCAACTGAAACCTGATGGAAAAAGAGAACTGAATGAGATTAAAACTGAACTTCTGGGCCAGGTGTAGTTGTTCATGCCTATAAAATCCCAGCATTTAGGGAAGCCAAGGTGGGAGGACTGCTTTAAGCCCAGGCATTCAAGGTTGCAGTGAGCTATGATCATGCCAATGCATTCCAGCCTGGGTGACAGAGTGAGACCCTATTTCTAAAAATAAAACAAAACAAAACCAAATAATACCAAACTGAAGTTCTCAATATTCACTATCATGGACCATTAAAAAAAAAAAAAGGAATCACTTTATTTCCCAGTCAATGAGCAGTCCATCTTTGTGAAAATAAACTGAATATTATTATAGAGAACATATCTGTACTGAGATACATTGCGTGGCTGGATAAACTTACTAAGTAAATGACTTACTTACTTCCATATCTCATGTCATAAACAAGATTCAGATTCATGTCTTAGTCAAAATATAAATAACCAGAAGTCACAGAATCTTGAAGGTTGTTTTGTGACTAAGAAAAACTATAGAAGTTAAATCCATTTAACAGTAACTATAAAATGACAGCTAAGCATGAAGATTCAATATAACTGACGGGGCTGGGCAAGGTGGCTCAAGCACTCTGGGAGGCCGAGGCGGGAGGATAGCTCAAGGTCAAGAGTTCAAAACCAGCCTGAGCAACAGCAAGAAAGACTCCATCTCTACTAAAAATAGAAAGAAATTAATTGGCCAACAAATAAATAAATTATATATATATATATCTATAAATAAAAATTAGCCGGTCATGGTGGCGCATGCCTGTAGTCCCAGTTACTGGGGAGGCCGAGGCAGAAGGATTGCTTGAGCCCAGGGGTTTGAGGTTGCTGTGAGCCAGACTGATGCCATAGCACCCTAGCCTGGGCAATGGAGTGAGACTCTATCTTAAAAAAAAAAAAAAATGAAAAAAAATCAAAAATACAACTGACAGGTAATTAAAAGGAAGATCCTGATCTTTGTCCTGGTTTGTCCATGTGATATCTCAGAAGCTCAGTTTTACAAATGAGAAAAACATCATCTGCTATTCCCCAACTCTAAGGACTATTATCAAGAGAATAATCTGAAAGTAGCTGTGAAAGCAGAAAAAAAAAAAAAAGAATTTGCAAAGCTTACTTCACACAATGTATTAAGAGCCAGAAAATGCTCACATGTTGGACCAGCTGGGTAAATAAAGTGATGAAGTATCACTTGATGCTGACTCAGTATCTTAACTTATGGAATGAATCCTATGTAAATTATCCTAATCATAGAAAATGTTTTTATACACAAAAATGTTTACTGTTATTTTACTGATTATATTGGAATAATTAGAAATGACCTAAATGATCAACAATAGCAGAATGTTTAGGTAAACTAATGGATGGGAAAAAAAGCTACAAAATATTCAGAGCAAGAGAAACTGGTCAATTTTAGATACACACTTGTGCAGAAAACAAGGAGTGGAAGGAAATACACCCCAAAAAGTAATATTGGGAGGTGGGTGGGTAGACAGTATAACTGTTTCTCTACTGTTTTGGGTATTCTATATTTTAAAATTATATATTATTTTACTAGGGAAAAATGATAAAAGAACTATAAAGTACTATGTAAAAGAAGTATTAATATATCACTGGCTTGGCAGTTATGTCCCAAATAGGTACGTAATACTGTTGTTAAATATACAACTCCCCCAAAAGAGGGAATCAAGGCAAAGAAAAGTGATTATCTTACCTGAAATCGCCCCATCTTAAAAACACCAGCTCCTGAAGTAGTTGCTAGGACAGGACCTTCTGTGCCTTGAGAAACTGAAATACATGGAGGGGGGAAACATAAACATCTCTTTTAGTTAGCTTCTTTTCCTTTTGGTCAGAAATACATCAAAATGAAACTATGTATGAGGAAAGTTGTTAAAGGAAAAAAAACCCTTCCTTATCTCCTAGGCTTTGTCTAACAGGGAGAAATTATTGTTTGCTCTACTACTAGATACCCTCACTGGGGAAGATACTATTGTTTGTTAAAAATAGTCAAGGTCTGAAAATTTATCATTAACCCTCTACCTTTCCTTGTACACACACAGATAATATGGCATTGTTTAAAGGAATAAAAGTAAAGTGTAAGCAAACCAGCTTCACACCTTAACTATGATATTAAGAAATACTATAAAAAGGGTTATTAGGCATTAAGAACTCAGTTACTCTTTACCTCAGAGATATGAGTAAGTAAAGGGAAGGATGAGATTTTACCTAGTATATATTTTTAATGAAAACCAGGTAATTTTACTTTGTCGATGCACCACTCAGGTAAATACTCTAACAGGACAGTACAGTTCTCAGAATCATTGGTAGCTAGTTTTGAGCAACTAGTTTAAAGCCACCTAGGTCCTCCTCCCAGGGACAATTGAGTTTTTAGAGATTTGGTAGACATATATAGGCATACATTTTCTTTATTGTATACAGCTAGTTAGAACATTGACTGATTTAGATGTTTTCACATAATATTATCTTAGAGACCATTCCATAGCAAGGTCTCATTCTTTTTAATGTACTGTTTGTGTGTGCCATGTGTGTATCTTTCAATGTACCATATTTTAATCAAGCTTCTACTGATGGACATTTAAATTATTCAGAATTTCTTGCTATTTAAAAAGTGTTCAAATAAATATTCTCTTATAGATAGATCTATGAAAAAAAACGCCTAAGAATGGAAGTGCTGAATCATTTCTACTTAAAACTTCAAGAGACATTAATAAATTGATCCTCGCAGAGGTTGTACCAAGTCACTGGTGGCTATTAACCCACTAATCTACCAATGAGAGGTGAGAAATGCTATCACTTGTAGTTTTACTTTGCATTTCTGCTATCATTAAGGAAGTTATGTACTTTTATGTTGAAGTTTCTTTTTCTGTATCTTTTGATTATTGTTTGGTCCACACTGAATAACATAAAGGAACTCTTTATATTAGGCAAAACTAGTCCTGTTGTGATAGGAATACACATATACCTCTCCCCCAGTTTCTCATTTATCTTTGTACTCAATGGCACTTTTGTGAATTTTGTTCCATGCAAAAATTTTACATTTACTACTGCTTGCTCTGGGTTGGACATTAAACTTAACAACACCTTTCTGTATACCAGGAAAGAGCAAACTATGATCTGTGGACCAAATTCAGCCTATAGCCTGTTTTTGTAAATAAATTTCACTGGAACACAGCCAAATTCATCCATGTATATATTGTTCATTGCAGGCTTTTGGGCTATAACACAAGATTTGAGTAAGTTGCAACAGAGACTGTATAGCCTGCAAAGCCTGAAATTTTTACTGTCTGGCCTTTTATAGAAAAAAAAAAATTGTCAGCCCTGCTCTGAACAGTTGGCAAAAAAAAAAAAATTCCTTTTATGTTTTCTTATAATACTATCTTACAATGTAATTTTTCATCTTTGATCCATTTGGAATTTACTTACATCTAGTCTAGGAATCCACCTTTGCTTTTTGCCAGATGGCTATCCAGTTGTTCCAAATGATTTTCTGAAATATCCCATCTTTTTCTCATAGATTTGAATGGCCAACTTTTTAATTTTCTGTATTCCTTTTTTATTGGTAGTGAACTTTTAATTTCTTTTATTTATTTATTTTCATTGTACATGTTTACGGTGGTAACATCATATCCTGATAATTTACATTCCCCTTTAATTTGTCCATTTCTGGACTTTCTAGTCTGTTCCACTGATTTGCAAGTGACTTCTTTAAAAACAAGAGAGCCAATTCAGAATGTAATTGCCTTGAAAATATTTACTGATTAACTGAAATCATATATTTGTATTCCCATACAAATGTATGTCCAGGATATAAAAGCTTATCTCTATCCCTATATATCCAGTGTCACAAAAGCCAAAAGATTATCAGTCAATTAACTTATAAATACAGCATGCTTGAATTTCTTAATCTCTCATAGCAAGACCCAGCTAATGACAAAGGGCCTTATGCTAAGAATCTATCATTATCTCTATAAACTGGCTCAAGTCTGAGAGTTAAATAAAAACAAAAGAAAGAAAAATAAGGAATAAAATTATATAATTATATAAAAAAAGAATCTATCATTATCCCCTGTATAGCTTCCCCCAATAACAATACAATAAATTTGCTAATATTCATACTTTAGATGTTACTATTAATGTTCCTCAGTCACGAAAATGTTCCTTATAATAGTTTCACATAGACTGATGTTCTCAAAAGGTGTCTTTCAAAACAGTAAACCTCTATAATCAATTACAGGTAGGACAGGAATTAGTAATATAAAAGAAGGATGCCTCTCACCATCCTTCTCAGGCTGTGCTCCTGCTTCTGTAACTGCTGTTGGAGCCACCATGGACACCAGCTGCAAAACACATACACATAAACACCATAAAATCTTTAGCTTCAGTCATGCTTAAACTTTTGCCTTGTTGCCTTTCCTCTGTTCTTTGTAAAAGGGCAGAAAGATAGTATATGTGAAGAAACTTATGTCTGAGGGATTTTGTTTTCTTCTCTTTTAAATTCTTACACCCTAAAAATAAATCTAATGTAAAGAAAGGCATCTTTGGCAAGAAGAAATTTTGAGTCTTATCCCTCTTGACTGCTTTCTTAATTTTTTTCATAGGATACTTAAGAGTGTAACTGGGATATTTATAGAAATGTAGTTTTAAGTAAAACATCATTGCTTCAAAGTTTAGCCTCCTCTAAAGCATAAACACAAAACCCATAGAATTGATCTGCAATATAATCTAATCAGAGGTTAGGACTAGAGAAGTGTTTTTCAAATCAAATCTTTCCCACTACTGGGTCAGTGCTAATCTTTCATTAATCTGTCTCATTTCTGTTGGCTAGAACAAGCAGGGACTCTGAATATGTGTTAAAGGAATTAAAAATGGTTTAGGTTACAGTTTATGTTCAAGGAATATAATACATTAAGGTTAGGAGGGGACTTAATCAAGATTTTCAAAACTTACACCAACTGTGGATGTTACTGTAACAGTCTCTGGACTAAGTGTTCTTCTCAATTGAGCATCAAGATCTTCTAGAGGTTGCTGGGACTGAACAAAAACAAACACAGTATAAATATAGTTCGTTGGCAATTTCAGAGCCATTGTATATAGGCACTTTCTATAGGACATACTGTTTTATGCTTTGGATTGGCACAATATAACATCTGTCTTCATATATATTATAAAACTCACTACGCTAAAATTTAGTACATTGTTTTAAGAATTTTATCAGTTTCTCAAAATTGTATGTCAGTCTCTCAAGCCTTAGAGTAATTCATGTTTTTGCTATTTCAAAGTATTCTTTTTTTTTAACCTTCTGTGTTCAATGTTACTCAGAGTGATAGAAAAAGTTGGTTACTTTTTTCTCTCTCTTTTTTAAGACAGGGTCTTACTCTGTTGTTTGGGCGAGAGTGCAGTGGCGTCATCACTGGTCACTGCAACCTCTAACGCCTGGACTCAAGTGATTCTCTTGCCTCAGCCTCCCAAGAAGCTGGGACTACAGGTACATGCCACCACACCTGGCTAATTTTTCTATTTTTTATAGAGATGGGTGTCTCATTCTTACTCAGGATAGTCTTGAACTCCTGGCCTCAAGTGATCCTCCTGCCTTGGCCTCTCAAAGTACTGGATTACAGGCATGGGCCACCATGCCTGGCTTCCTCTATTTTCTTTCTCAGTTGTATATACCTTTTTTCTGTCTCTATGAATAAAAGATGGCATTAATATATTCTGTCACTATCAGGGGACAATATTATTCTCTTCTTCAGGTTTTTTACACTTCTTCTACCCTATAGAAGGCAGCCACGGAGGTTTAGGCATTCCATCCTGTTAATCAGGCCTCACTGCCATCTAGCCCAAGGCCATAGCTTTGCCCTTGCCACAGTTTCTAATCCTGTATCTACCTGTCTTGGCTTCTATCAAACTACTCTTATACAGCATTCATTTATCCCTCTCCCTCTATATTAGGGCACTATCCAGTTACTCTTTCTCCCTCCCGCATCTCATGTGCTATTTCTTATCACATTTAAAACTCCCTTACTTATCTGAATACATGTGTTTAATGAGAAAACAGGTTTTAAAACTAAACTCACAATTTATAGACTTTCACCATGCACTTTTATCAAAATTTGGTGGCTGACAGAGTAGGTTCTCTGTTGGAGTTATTACTTTATTGTGATAAGTTCCTTAAACAATGTTTTACTGTATTGAGATAAAAGAACTGGGTTAAATTCAGAGCAGGCTTTTCAAGTAAGCAATTTACCACGTGTTTTTTATATATGATTCCAAAATAAATTCCTAATTTAGTTTCAAAATTTACTAGCTTGCCCAATGTCAGAAGCTTTTTCATGATCATGATGGATTTACAGTGAGTACTTTCCTTAAGGAAATTCAAGTAAATGTGTTGGTGGTGGGGTAGGGTAGGAAAGGGTAATATAATAATTTTAATATTACAGGTAATTCTGACCACCATTGCACTCAGTTAGCAGAACTGTGTATGAGTTGGGAATCTCAAGTTCAAGTTGCTGGTCTCAGTTCCTCTGTGATTAATCTTACAATGTTAGCATCTTGCTGAGCTGGATGATTTTTATATTAAAAGATAAAGTACGTATTTTTCATTAAACACTACTGTTATACCTACCTATATGTAAGCTAATTATTTCATTAGGTGATCATATGAAAGAAATGATAAACACTTAAGAAAAAACTAGTTGCACTGGACTCATGGAATAAAGTTTATCAGTTATCAATGTGCTTCTCTTTTCTAAGCAAGTTTCAAAGTTAATTTTGATTATATATAATTTTTTACTTCCATAATGGCTTAGAACTTAACCTCACATTTAAGATGTAATTTCACTCTTCTAAAAAGTGTAAATGATAAAAGATGTCATCATATAGGTCTGGCAAAATGCCAACTTTGGTATTTTCTTTCTAAGATATGGGAAATATTAATATCAAATGTTTTCTAAATGACCTAAAGCAACATTACAAATGAAACAACTATGAAGCTTCTTACTTTAAGTAGGGTCTATTTCATTAGCTACAGCATTTAAAGAAAGGTGTTACTAAGTTAAAGCCAAATAGGAGCCAGAAGCCAAGATCATGCAATGGAGACTTTAAACAAGATTTGTGAAAAAAGGTAGGAACACAGAAAGAAATCTGCCAAGTTTTGGGGCACCTGAGTTAGTGAAGGTCCTGGAAAAGGTGGCAGCTGCTCACTGGATAAAGTACCTGGTGGAAGTTCAGTACCCACAGGCAACACCTACAGACAGTGAAGGAAAATTCAAGTCCATGAGGCACTGTTAGTAAAGACTGCATACTAAAAAACAAATCAACTAATCTGAATGCACAAACATAAGAATAAAATGTGCCTAGTTAAGCTTATTGCCTAAGTTATACTCTGCATCTGTCTTAAAGAACATGACAACCAATGATATTAGTATAGGGGTTACAATGACATACTCATAAAATGAATAATAAAATATAGTAAAAGGTTGTTCCCCAGGGAAAATACAGAGAACAAGAGCTATATGCACATAAGAGGCACAGTCTAGCTAATCTTGAGCTACTTATTTGGTATAGTATTATCAAGCTTTTGCTAAGAAAAATAAGATTTTTCTGAGAAAACAGTAGCTGTTCAAGGGGCAGGCCTGGTAATAAAAGGTATCAGAAATCTAATATTAAGCAATTTCTATTTTTTCTGAGAGATTCTGTATTATTCTACTATAAAAAGAATCTCACATCAAAGGCAATGAAGAAAAATGGCTGAAGCATACAATACAGTAGACATAATACAGCTTTGTTATTTGGAGAAGATTAGAGAGGTTGAAGATGGGAGAACCAGAGGAAATCCACCACAGCAGAATTAGAAAATACATTCTAGTTATTTTGGTCCTAGGATTAGATTATTTCTGCCTCCTCTGTATCAATTTCATCACTAATGTCCAATTTTTGATAAACCCCAAATCGTACATCTGTGGACTCTACAATAAAGCAGCAGATTTGCTTTGCTCTCATTGAAACAAAGATTGTGAACAGCTATTAGTACATATATTTTGCTGACAGATGTATGTAGCTCTTTTGTGATACAGATTTCTTCAGTTTGCACCAATTCAGAATAAATGCCTGTATTTTATCTGATAATTATACATTTTTAGAAAATGGTACAGTATAATTAACCTGCAAGTCCCACCATATTAAAAAAAAAAAGTCTGTTTCAACGTACATATCCAAAAACTGCCATCAATATGTTCAATAAATACTATAAGCCAGGTACCTTTATAATTATGTTTCTAATTCATAAGAATGAGTTGAAAAATGTACTTCTTAGGCATAAAAAAGAGTGATCATATTTATCTAATTATTTTATAACAAGAATCTTACCGGAGCCTTAACTAAAGCAGGCTTTGAAGGAGCCGTTCCAGGTTTTACTCCTGATGCAGTGGTGGCTGGGGTAGATACTTGCCCAGGTGAGACCACTGGTATACCTGACAAAGCGACTGTTCCTAATGGCAAGTTTGTTGGCGGTAAGCAAATATTCGTGGTGGAAGTCGTGAGTTTGCTTGGTGCAACAGCAGTGGTTGGGATGCCTGGTGTGACTGTGGTCTCTACCACTAATGATGTCTCCAGTGAGACAGGGGCATGCTGAGCTCCAGATGAACCGTGTTCACTAAACAGAGACCGCAGCTTTTCCTCCAGAGTCTTTATGTCATCAATTCCAGGAGCTTTGGGTTGTGTATCAGCATCTATTTCAGAACAGTGAGTATGGGGCTGGTTGGGAAGCAAAGCTGGTTGAGGCTGACTATGAATTAGTGTCTGCTGTACAGCAGGCACATTGGCAACAGGCTGGACCAAGGGTGGGATACTAGGTACTTGGGGTAATAAAGGTGTATGTCCTGCTGCTTGGGGAAGAACAGGAGTAGAAGCTATGGCTGATGGGATGACCAAAGGATGTACCCCACCAGGCTGAGAAACAGAGCTAGATACTCCTGTTCCTTGGGAGGAACAGGAAGATGGTGCAGAGAGGGACAAAGCCAATCCAGTTGTACTGCTATGAGATGTCTTATCTAGTGAGTGTGCACTAACCACCACTGTTTCAGCTAGAGTAGGAGCAGAGGTGCTGCTGCTAAGCTGAAGGGATGGCTGTGAAGCTGTACTATGGAACGAAGTTATGGTAGAAACTGATGTCAATGTGGATACCACAGTAGTACTGCCAGCTGCCTGCTGAGATAGTACAGCTGGAGGCTTAGCACAGGGGGAAGCAGCACTGCCCACTGTAGAGGCTGAAGTTGTTGAAACTGTTATAGAAGGAAAAGTGCCTGTATTAGAAATAATACTCCCAGATATAGGGACTTGAACTGACTGGGATGTTGCAGTTACTGAGACAATTGCAGGTATTGTAATACTTGAAACCACAGTGGAAAGTGCTGGTGATTCAGACACAGGTGGTATAGGGAGACCTGTGCTGGTGGCAACTCCAGCAATCCCTTTCTCAGTGGGCATTGTAATCTCAGACTCAACCACTGATGTGGAAATATCATTTATAGGGCTGCTTGTTGTAGGGACTGATACTGAAGATGAACCTGCTGTTATGGTTGGGACACCAGCAGTGCTACTCAAGAAAGGAGGTACTACTGGAAATGCTGGTCCTGTATGACTAAAATTTGGAGGTGCTGTATTGGGTCCTTCTGTCATCTGGGTATGTCTAAGCTCAGAAAAGGCCTGTTGTAGACTAAGGGATGAAGCAGAGTGAGACAAGTTCATTCCGGTGCCTTGAGACGTAGAGGCAGCAACTGCAAAGGATAAAAATATAAGAATCAGCCCATTTTAAAAGGATGGATTCAAAAGACTGTCCTAACAACTGTTTGTGTATTACCAACAATGCCAAGTACCAATAAAATTTACAATCTATCCAAAGGAAATGATAGGCTCTAGGCTCTAAAACAGTAAAGTAAAACAGTAGTTTGAGATCAAATTTAGTCAGTCTGATTTCATCTATTTCTGAAATCAAATAAAAACCCTCAAAAACATGGAGTAACCTTAAAGAATATACAACAGTAGTAAATGCAGAAATAGACATATACTGTAATATCTACTACATAGGTTCTACTGAGTATGGATATCCCTGCCAGCTTTTTCTTTGATCCTCTCTATTCATCATTATTCAGTTTTTCATTCTTTTTTATTATCTGTGTTATGATGAACTACAGTTTGATGATTAAGCTTTCAATACAGTGGAGATGCTGTAGGATTTACATAAGAATGTGGTAGAATCAATTCTTTACCTGTATCTGGTATTTCACTGGTGAAAAGTTTTGATTCGCGTAATCGACTTTCTGGCACAGGACTTACTATAAACCGTCTTCCAGCAGAATGAACAACTTGAGTTAAAGAACTGGTAGGAATACCTAGTCAAAAGGAAACAACCCACTTAACTGCATAATTATCATTTATATTGTTACCAACAAGAAGCTTCAAAAGTTCATTATTGGCACATACAGCTTCTTAAGACAAAGGTAAAAACTAAGAAAGAAAGGAAAGAAATTCACCTATTTGCTGTGGCATGGAAGATGCAGGAATTGGTTGTTTGAACTCTCCTTCCAATTTCTACAATAAGCAAAAGTGATTAAATTCATTCTCAAATGCAATCTCAATGATCAGGAAAAGCAAATCACCACATGTGAAAAGAACATAAATGTTTGTTCTCAGTCACAGGTGTAAACTTAGCACTATTGAAATATTTTAATAAAACAAAGTTTCACTATGGGAATGGTGGACCTACTTGAGAACCTGAAAAGCCATAGTCATCCTTTCCCTGTAGACTCTCCAATCCCTGGTCACCTTCTGGTTCTACATTGACATCCTCACTGAGCATTTCATCAGCTTTTTCAATAATTTCCCGTACTTGATCCACAAATGACTCTCTCTCTATTGCTAGAATAAAGTCATTGTTCACCTATAAAAGAAATGTGATGTCAGTCTGATTAGTGTAACATTTCTCAAGTTGTAAAAGTCATTCAACTATCACTTTCATGATTTCTGCCCTATCTGCATACTGCCTGTATTATTATTTAGCTGGTATTCAAATTAGCTCTTCCCTTTTTAAGATCTTCAGTACCAACTTAGACATATCGAAGACAAAAACATCTCTAAATCACACCTTGGGTGTGCTAGTTATAGTCACACTGAAATAAATGTGTAACTGTCAAAATAAACATAGATTACAAAATATTACATATTTGCATAGGACAATGGATATTAAGATCAAGTACTGTGGAAAAATTAGGAATTCTAAATGCAGACATACCATAATTGTTGCTATCTCCTCAGGGTTGTCACCATCTAGGTCAAATTTGAATGTTACCATTTTCCGATTATGAGTCTCTAACTGACATTCTACTACTCGGTCTCCTTTATTTGAAACCTAAAAAGAAAAAAGAAAAGTTACTTGATCTCAGACCACATTCAACTTTATTATTGAATTTGAGACAGATGTGTAGACTGCCACTTGAATTTAAGTCTGAGGAAGCATAGTGCTTATTATTGTTCCTTGGAGCTCTAGTATTTTGTCTCTTAAACTAGTAGCAAGAAAATCTTTGAGAAGATATCAGTCTTTGAGCTACATACTAAAACTCTCTATTCTTCTAATAGGTAAATAGTGCCTTACCATAGAGATATGGAATTTGAGAATATCAGTGTTCACCAATTCACCTGAGCCTTCAGAATTATTTAAATGATAATAACTGCTGGCCTTATTGTAGCTTTATGAGCTACATTTTCAGTTTTTTTTCTATGTGAAAAATGCGATATTCAATTCAAAAGGATTGTGAGGGCCGGACGTGGTGGCTCACGCCTATAATCCTAGCACTCTGGGAGGCTGAGGCGGGTGGATTGCTTGAGGTCATGAGTTCAAAACCAGCCTGAGCAAGAGCGAGACCCCGTCCTCTACTATAAATAGAAATAAATAAATTGGCCAACTAATATATATAGAAAAAATTAGCCAGGCATGGTGGCGCATGCCTGTCGTCCTAGCTACTTGGGCGGCTGAGGCAGCAGGACTGCTTGAGCCCAGGAGTTTGAAGTTGCTGTGAGCTAGGCTGACACCACGGCATTCACTCTAGCCTGGGCAACAAAGCAAGACTCTGTCTCAAAAAAAAAACAAAACTCCAAAACCACAAAAGGATTGTGAGAATGAAATAACAATACTATATAAATTATGTACTGCATAAAGAAAAGGTTATCTTTGTTTTATGAAAGGAGTGGTTTGGATTCGATAACCTCTAAAATACCAAGTTCCTTTAACAATATAGAGCCCACAAATTAGCAATACTTACATTTAAAATTCTTAATTTGGGGCGTGAAGTCTTTTCATGTCGAGAACGACTTCTTACTGATTTTCGATAATGACGTTTTGTAGTTCTTCCTTCATGCCTTCCACTGGAAGATGGGACATTCTCATTGCCATCACTCATACCTGAAGCAACATCTGAATGTGCACTTTGGGAAAAAAAAATTCAGTTTATAATATGAGATTTAAAGGTCTGATGTCCTGAAGTTTCATACTATCCTACCTATCAGTCAAGGAAGAATTTTAGTTTTACATACCTGTCTATAGAGGAAACCAAAGTGGTAGGCTGCGTAGGTTGTGGCTGTGCTACTGGAATTGGCTCGGGAGAAGCAACCTGAGAGACTCGCTGAGTACTCTGTGGATGGAAAGGGTTGTTCAAATCTTGGCAATAACATTTATTGATCATTCACCATCTCTAATAAGCTACTTTTTTTTTTTCCTTATCCCTCCCCTAAGCCCTAGAAGCACTATATTTACTAGTAATTCAGCATCTAGAGACAGTGGTCTTAAAATTCCAAAGAAAATTTCTAAAGCTAGTCTCTGGGATAACTACATGGTGTGAGGTCAGCCAACATATCTGCTAAGGCAGTGTGAAACTACAACTTGCCATACAGCCAGCATTTTACCAGAAGTGTGCAACAGGGCAGGCAGAGTGCAAAGATGAATTAAGATCTTTCTCCTAGCAGGGCAAAAATGATTGCTGTGAGCACAGCAGGATAAGATACTCTTCTGATTGCCAATGGCAAGGTTTGTGAAAGGACAAGAATAATGGCTAAAGTATTAGCTAGAGAAGTGAAGTGCTAATAGGGTTAACCTTCTCCAAGGCACACTCACTTCCCAATAGAACAGCCAGTGGCAACAAGGCCCCCACATTGGCATTTCATTCTGCTGTAAGAAAAAGTCATTGAGAAGTCAGTTTTACATAGTCTCCAAATGAGTTCTAAACCAGGGGAGCCTATGCTTCTTCTTTGTCATTTCTATCCCATTATATATATACGTATATGTTTTAAACATGCAGTAATTCCATTTACCTCCAGAACTGCTTGCTGGGAGGATGTAGTGGGGGCTTGTTGTGCTAAACTCACTGCTGGTTGGGACACTTGAACCTGTCCTCCTATTCCACCCACAGGAACCAAAAGATTTGATTCCACATAGGGCTGCACCATTGCAGGAAAGTAAGCAGGTGCAGCCAATGCTTCTGTCGGCATAGGAGGGGATAGAACTGTAGAATGGATGCAAACAGAAGCCTCGTTGGAAGAGGGAGCAATATTTGAGTCTCCTGGGTATTGTGGTGGCAGTCGAGGTGGGAATCCCTGTGATAGAAATGAGGAAGGTGAGTTAGTGCAGGTTGGGTCATCAAATTAGCAACATAGCAAGACGTACAAAACAAAACAACCCACAAAAAAACAAACAAAAAAAGCACACAGCAAAGAAGAATAGTAGCCAATCTCTTTCTAATAATCTAAAGGACATTTAAAGATCATTCTTGAATTTTGAAATGAAATAGTAGACTAGTTCCAATTTAGGGGACAGGACTCTGCAATCATACTTTAGATTGTTGGTTTTTCTCCTCCTGGAAATTATTTAAATAGGAAGAAAAGACTTAATTCCTTTCTAGCTAATCTTAAATGGAAGAATACAAAAACTTTCATATATCAGTTATTGCAGTCATATCATGAAATGCTAATCTCCTAATCTAAACCCTGAAGCTTTTTGAGTCTATGTTGGCTTTTCTATTTATTCTACCTATACATTAAAAAAAAAAAAAAGTAGCTTAAGCTGGGCACAGTGGCTCACACCTATAATTCTAGTACTTTGGGAGGCCAAGGCTGGAAGACAGCTTAAAGCCAGAAATTCAAGACCAGCCTGGGCAATAGTGAGACCCCATCTCTACCAAAACAACAACAACAACAACAACAACAAAAAAAAAAAACAAAAATTTTTTTAGCCAGGTATGGTGGCTTGCACCTGCAGTCCCAGCTACTTGGGAGGCTGAGGCAGGAGGATTCCTTAAGCCCTGGAGCTGGAGGCTACAGTAAGCTATGATGATGCCAATGTATTCAAGCCTGAACGACAGGGAGATCCTGTCCCCCCCGCCAAAAAGATGACAAAAAACAAAACCCAACATAGCATAATGTACTCTATTAACCACATCTTGCATTCGATCAGTTTACACTGAATATTGAGAGAAGGATTTTTTTCCTTGGAAGAGGTATGCTGGGAAAACCAGATAAGGAATGTCATCGGACATAATCATCCTATCCTTTTCCACAAATTTGCTATTTTAACTTCTCTAGTTAAGATCAGCAACTTTATTACTGCTATTCTGATAGTTAATAGATTTTCAAGTTCTTGATGGTCTACTAGAATCAAACCCTCTGGTGCCCTCCTTTTTTGCTAGCTAACACAATACCTGGTACAGAACATCTCCAGAGGGAAGTGGAACCTCAACAGCTTGTCCAAGGTTAGCTGGTATTCCCATGGACTGAACTGATGGCTGTAGAAGCTGTGGGTGAACCTGACTTGGCATTTGAGTCCCAGGCTGCAGAAGGGTTGGAAGCTGACTAGGAACCACAGTTGATGCCCCTGGGATCGCAGCTGCTGTAGCAGATGAAGCCAAGGTGAACAGGGGCTGATTAATGCCAGCTGCCATTGTGATGGGAATGGATGAGAAGCCTGTCTGAGCCGTAGACACATGAGGAGCTGATATGGGAATCTGAGAGACAGAGTACTGAGGGAGTAAAGAAGTAGGGAGTGGCTGTCCCATTGGGAGAAAATGAGCACCAGAGTGGACTGGAACAACTGAGGGCTGTGTCGCGACTGGGATCTGAGGTTCGCCTTGGATAGGTGGCACTGGCTGGGAAACTGGAAGCTGGGAAGGTAAAGAAAAACAAAACAGACAGGCTTTCAAAAAAAAAGCAAGACTGTCAAAAGCAAGATTTATGTATTAGCTGAAAAGAAGTGTGTGCGGGGAAACCCCAACAAAACCCTGCATACATTAGTGTAAGTTAATATGCCACATAAAAATATGAAAAGGATAGCAGGAGACAGACAGAGAGGCTAAATAGACTGCTACTGTTCCAAACCTTCTGCTGTAGAAAACTAATTCTTCAGTATTTGGCAATAAACCCTTCCATAGGCTAGGTTTTGTTTTTTAAAAAAAAACAACAATTTTATTGGGATATATTTCATGTACCAAAATGCTGCGACTAAATCTGTGACTGCTATTACAGTAGTTACTGAAATTCAAAGTAATTCCTTCCTAGTGGAATTCGATTTCATATCACTTCTACAGTTGTTAAGTCCAACACAGCTCTATATAAAAGTAGATATAATTAATATATTTATTTCCCTGATTCTAAGATGTAATCACCCCTATTCTCCACTGCCTGATCATTTTAACATTTGAGAAATTGGGATCTTACAATTGATGATGTGTCAGTACTTAGCGCTACATAAATTAATGCTGGTTTACAGTTGACAGCATCTCGAGAATGTGTGATGAAATATCACAGTATCACAAGTACTACAGCAATACTGTACAAACACATGCACAACAATGCCCAAAGATAAAGTTGAAGAAAGATCATTCAGAAGAGCAGACCTTCCACAGGTATGCTTCTACTGTACTACTATTTTTGTTTGTTTGTTTATTTGTGAACCTGTATCTCCAGACAGGGTACTTTTCAAGTGACTAGAAGTACGACTACTTAAAAAAAAACAACTCACCATTAAATATATAAGGTATTTTCATGATTTACTGTCAATAGGTAATGAGGGGGAAATAGTGCATAAATCTACATGAAAATAAAGCATACTTGCAAACTCAGAATATCAAATATAGCCAACAACGATTCTAAAGAATGTCATAGGTTCAGTTACCAAAGCATCTTTTTATTTAACCCGATAGTTGTAGTATCTTGTCAAATCTATTTTAGACTAATACTAAAAGTGAAATCTTTCTAGATTGTCACTGCTGTCAGTAATGTATCCATCTATACTGAGCAATACATATGTGCAAAGAGAGTGGTTTTCACTTCATTTTTGCAGTAAAAATCAACCATCTTTAACTACTGAAGACAAGGTAGAAGACAAGAAACATGGAGATCCCTTTTAGCATCCTTTCAGAAATTAAGAGTTTACCTGTTTTCCCACTGATACTTGAGGCAAGACCTGTGGAGCTTGAGACTGACTCACTGGCTGTGCAGTAGTGGCCTCACTGGAGGTTGATGTCTGTGGAAGTGAATACTGTATTGTCTGTTGAGGAGGGGCTGTCTGCTGTATTCCCTGCTGCTAAGAATAAAATATAATCCAGTTTTATTTCAAATCATTCATAGCATGTTTCCAAGGATGTTTACTTAAAGTCTTTAGTGTCTGTAAATGATGCTTTTAGTAATAAAGACATACACAAACTCAAATTCATCAATTCCCCCCAGGTATCTGTTTTTCCTCTGATGTTCTTTACTTGTGATGACACCACCACCAACAATTAACCAATGTTTCAAAACTGAGTCAACAATGGTTCTTAATCTAACAACATCTTTACTTCAAACCCAAGGCGAGGTCCTTACAAAGTCAGTAGATAACATACCCAGATAGTTCATTCCCTCTCACCCCCCTTTTCCTACTTCTTGGCATCAGCTCTCAATTTGGCTCCTATTAATAGATTAGACAAATCTGGTCTCTTCCTTTTATCTCTTTCCCTTACCCTAGCTTATCAACTATATAATTAATGTTCTTGAAGAACAGCTCCAATTATAGCTACAAAATAATGAGCAAAGCATTAGATTTGGAATCAGGAGGTAGTTTAAAATTTTAGCTTTACCATTTATTAGCTGTAATATTTCTGATTGATCATTTTATTACAAAAAGGAAGTTTCCCCTTTTTGAAAACAAGGATACTGTCGACTCAAAGTGGGGCAAACCATGGCATGTAATTATATCCAAATACTAAATTTTGTAATAAGTCAAGCAAACAAAACATGAGTATCACCCTAAATTAATGTCCCCTTCTGCTCAACAAAATCTGAACTTTATAGCTAACTTTCAAAACTCTAATATCTGTAACTAATTTAAATATTTTTACTACAAAAACACGTTTGTAATAAAAATTTAAACCAATATATCAGATTACAAAATAAAAATAAGAATACTCCTCATCAATCCTATTCTCCAGAGGCAACCACTATTAGTGGTTTGGTGTATCACCTTCATAGACTTTTTCTATGTATAAGTGGCCATTTATATAGAGGTATATTTTCCCCTTTTTTGCCTATCCTATAAATAGTGTTGTACAGCATGGATTTTTCATTTCATTTATCAATGGAATCAATCTCCTAATGACAAACATTTTGGTTACTTTACTATTTAGCATAATGTTGCAACCAATATCTTCTTACATATGTCCTGGTATATACACACAACTAATTAGTTACCGCTAGTATAAAGATAAGCTATTTTACTGGTATATCTATCATATACCCGGCCACCTTAATGAACATTTTAGATTTTGTTAGGTGATAATCTGCAAATAATATTTTTGCTCTTCTTATATTTATTCCTTACTTCTTTCTCAATGTACTCATATTTTAACTTTAAAAAAGTAGGAATGAATGGCTATTGAATTACATAAAATTTATTTTCAGCAACTAAGATATATCACATGTAGACAATAGAAGGCAACTCTGAATGTAAGACAATTTTTTCATTTTTCCACTGAGAAAGAGGAACTAAAAAAACAGAAAACCATTTTCACCAAGTTGAATATATTTTAATATTTAAACTTTTAGAAATGTGAATGAAGTATCCACAGTTACGTAACTTGTTAAACACCTAAATAAGATTACATATTACATAAATAATTTCAGAAACATTGCTCCTTGCCCCCAAACTCTTTATTTTCACTGCAGCTATATTATAAATGCTCTTGCAGGTTTCTGGCATAACATAACACTTTCCCTCTAAGTTGTGTCTAGAGGTAAAAATTATACTGATAAACATCTGTTTGAATATTATTAGGATAGTTGGATTTCTTTTTTTTGCATTTGTCTTACAGGTTTTATATTCATGTAACTTTTATATTAACTTTTTAAAGTGATCTTTAAACAAATTGTGTAAAGATGACATACAGTACTTGAAATAGTAAAGTCATATTCCCAAGTGTAAGGATCAAATCTGTTTAATTTCTTGGCTTTAAAAAAAATCCTGTCATATTTCCAACCACACTATTTAAGGTCCTTGCAGGCATATTTGTTCTCACCTGTCATATTTGATTTCATTAACATTTTGTTGGTAGTTCAAAATAAAAGACAGTGAGAGCCCTATAATATGAAAGTATGTTAAAGCTGTTGTCCCCAACCCCTGGGCCTCAGCCCACTACCGTCCCCATAGCCTGTTAGGAAACAGGCTAAGCATCACCATCTGAGCTCTGACCCTGCTTCCCACCCCTCCATTGTGGAAAAACTGTCTTCCATGAAACAGGTCCCTGGTGCCAAAAAAGTTGGGGAGCGCTGTGTTAAAGGTTTGAATACATAGTGATTCTTCTCTTTTCTAAAGCATAAATTGGAGGAAAAATCCCCACTTTATTTTTGGGCATATGGTAATCATATGTCCCCTGTCCCCACCCCAGCTGCATTAATTTGGAACCATGCTCACATCAAAATTTAGACTCTATCAACTATTTCTTGAACTTAAACCCTCACATATTTATGTACCTTTGTTTTTATCTCGTATTTCTCTACCTTTGTACCTTTTGCCTTGCTCATAGTACCCTTTTTTCCTTCTTTTGGCCTGAAATATTTTTTTTTTTGAGAAATCTCACTCCATTGCCCAGGCTACAGTGCCATGGTGTCAGCCTAGCTCACAGCAACCTCAAAACTCCTAGGCTCAAGCGATCCTCCTGCCTCAGCCTCCCAAGTAGCTGGGGCTACAGGCATGCACCACCATGCCCAGCTAATTTTTTCTGTGTGTATTTCTAGCTGTCCAGCTAATTTCTTTCTATATTTTTAGTATAGATGGGGTCTCGCTCTTGCTCAGGCTAGTCTCAAAATCCTGAGCTCAAACGATCCACCCAACTTGGCCTCCCAGAGTGCCGAAATATTCTTTTTTTTTTTTTTTTTTTTTGAGACACAGTCTCACTTTGTTGCCCAGGCTACAGTGAGTGCTGTGCATCAGCCTAGCTCACAGCAAACTCAAACTCCTGGACTCAAGCAATCCTTCTGCCTCGGCCTCCCCAGTAGCTGGGACTACAGACATGTGCCACCATGCCCAGCTAATTTTTTCTCTATATATTAGTTGGCCAATTAATTTCTTTCTATTTATAGTAGAGAGGGGGGGTCTCGCTCTTGCTCAGGCTGGTTTTGAACTCCTGACCTCGAGCAATCTGCCTGCCTCGGCCTCCCAGAGTGCTAGGATTACAGGCATGAGCCACCGCGCCTGGCCCCAAAATATTCTTTATTTCTATATCTGTGTCTAACTTATAATCAGGATCCAGTTAAAATGCCATCTCTTTCATAGTATTCCTGATATCCCTTTTCTTGCTTGAGAGAGATGTTAATTTCTCTCTCTTTTTTTTTTTTGAGTCAAGTGGGTAGTAGGTAAATGGTGAGCTGTAGAGTCACCACATTTGGATTTAAATTCTATTCCTACCTCTTATAAGCTGTAAGTTTCAGTAAATTACTCAGCTTCTCCAGGTCTCAGCTTTCCCATTAGTAAAACAGAAATAATGCTAGCACCTACGCTTAAAAGAGGTCTTATAAAGATTAAATGGAAACAAAGTGCTTTGCACATTATACATGTTAGCTATTATTTGTTCTGTAGGAATTTATAAGTGTTTACTATTTTATTTAAATTTCTTAATGTAGTCATACCTTGACCATCTTGGTACACCTTCAATATCTGAACTCAATTAGGGAAAAGAAACTGAGCAGTTTTATTCTCTCACTTTTTTTTTTGAGACAGAGTCTCACTGTGTTGCCCAGGCTAGAGCGCTGTCAGCCTAACTCACAATAACCTCAAACTCCTGGACTCAAGCAATCCTGCCTCAGAGTCCCAAGTAGCTGGGACTACAGGCATTTGCCACCATGCCCGGCTAAGTTTTTCTATATATTTTTAGTTGGCCAATTAATTTCTTTCTATATTTAGTAGAGACGGTGTCTCGCTCTTGCTCAGGCTGGTTTCGAATTCCTGACCTTGGGTGATCCACACCTCCCAGAGAGCTAGGATTACAGGTGTGAGTCACCGCGCCCCCATTCACTCACTTTTTGTTTAAGATAATTAAGAGGCACCTATGCCAGTTGTACCTTAGAGCATTTACGGGGAAATGGCACCTCTGGGTATGCCAAAAGTACACGGTGATCTACTGTGCACAACCCGACTGGCTAGTGATCAGCCAAGGAGAGATGGTTTATCATAGCAGTTTGGTATCATGCTTTGCCTAAACTTGCTTCATGAAACCAGTTCAAACAGCCTTTACTGACTGTGTACTATGTGGTGGACATGGGTATTTGGTAAAAATTGTTCACGAGGCTCAACTGAACTTTAGAAAACTAAGAATATTGTCTATGCCTCAAGAGTCTATAGGTACTTTTATGGAAGAAATTATTAAGTTAGTAGGGCAGTTCACAACTTTATGGCCATGAAGTTTTCCCATAGGAGGAATTATTTTTGGTACCCCATTAAAATACAGCAGATTACTATAAATGACTCTTGATAAAAACATGAAAAAAGCAATCCCCCATTTACTATGTGCCAGAAACCCACAAATAATGTAAATTTCAGCTAAAGTACATTTCCTTTATTTTAAATTTCAGAATATTACAGAGGCACAAAGACTTTCATCACATAAATTGTCTTTGCACAGCCACACTCAAAGCTACAAGCTTGCCCATCCCCCAGACAGTGCATGCCACACTCATTAGGTGTGAATTTACCCATTCCCTCTGCTTCCGTCCCACCTGCCCAATCCCCTGTGAATATTACTTCCATATGTGCACTTAAGTGTTGATCGATTAGTAAGAATTTAATGGTGAGTACATGTGGTGTTTGTTTTTCCATTCTTGTGATACTTCACTTAGAAGAGTTGTTTCCACATCTTTGCAATTGTGAATTGTGCTGCTATAAACATTTGAGTGCAGATGTTTTTTTTACATAATGATTTTTTTCCTGTGAGTAAATGCCCAGTAGTAGGATTGCTGGATCTAAAGTATATTTCTTTCTTCACTATAATAAAACCAGAGATATGGTTCCCTAAGGTGGGGTTGGGAACTAACTGTGTATAAGACAAAAATCATGTCGAATAACGAACTCTATCCATATAGTACAGAAAGTTTCAAACCTTTCTTTCTTTTTAATATAGAATTTCAATAACTAAAACAAACAAATGTAGCTTCTGGGGTACCTTTGCAGAATCATAAGTCCCTGTAGAACTTTATTCTGGGAATCTTGAATTCTGGTTATGTAGCTCCCTTATTGTCCAGGTGACCTTAGAAAAGTTAAATATTCTATACTGCATACACTTCTTACATAAATTGAGGATTCAGTTTTATGATTCTACTCAACAAATGCTATAAAAATATCTAAAATGACAACATCACTGAAACAAATTAATTTTTGTTTGTGCCGTAGATAGAGTATTTAACTATACTTTTCCCCAGAAGAGTTAACTAATTCTTTTAATCTGACATTTATGGCACTGCTCTCCTCAATCCTCATATACTATTCATATACTACTGAACTCAATGGCTCATTTCACTACTTCTCCATTTAGTAGTAAGTATACATATGTATGTCCATCCCCATTTGTTAAGTTATAAGATACTTAACAAATTCCTTTGGAAAAGGGAAAACAGAGCACACATTTAAATTTGCTCAGTTTATTGGTGTTAGTCTGTGTCCAAAGATAAGTAAATTAGAAGACTGTTACCCATGACAGGACTTCTGTTCTCAACCAGTTTTATGTGACCTGTAATTTGTATTCTAATTAGGAACTGTTAATAGAATAAAACAGAATTTGTTAAGGTTGGCAAAAATGTGACTACCTAAATTTAACCATAATTATACATAAATTTAAACATCTGTTTGGAAGAAAGGGCAGGAGCAAGACAATGTATATAACAATTCCCAGCCCTTAAGTTCTACAAAATAAAAATGTTGATCACTGGGTGAATGTATATATAACCGAACTAATCAAGTCTGTCTGTACAAGATGCTTTAAAGTGATTTTTATTTTGTACAAGGAACATCTCATCTTAAACCATGATCAAATGACTACGTGACCACATACTGGATTAGAAGAGGGACATTTGTAATTAAGAATTAAAAGCTTTGTTTCAAAATTAATATAAACAGAAGGCAATTTATAATTTGGTGGTTGAAAAATATATTTGAGGAACTATCAGTGGAATAGTTCATTAGGAAGTTTGTATTACACATATAATGACTATAAATTTTACTTAGAATAGCTAATATTCAATTATGCCAAAAAACCATTATTCCCATGCAAATAATTACTATAAACTAATACCAGCAATGAACTATAGATATTTCATTGTAGAATTACCAGTTTTACTGTTGAATACATCGGGATTGTACTAATATCCCTCATTTTTAGGGGGTTCCTGTATATACATGTTAAATTAATCTGATAGCTTTTTTTTTTTATTAAAAAAGAGTTCCTGAGGCTGGGCACAGTAGCTTATGCCTGTAATCCTAGCACTTTGGGAGGCTGAGGTGAGAGGATTGCTTTGAGCTCAGGAGTTCGAGACCAGCTTGATCAAGAACGAGATCCTATCTCAACAAAAAATAGGAAAAATCAGTCAAGTATGGTCATGTGTGCCTGTAGTCTCAGCTACTCAGGAGGATGTGGGAGGAGGATTGCTTGAGTCCCGGAGTTTGAGGTTGCAGTGAGCTATGATGACACCACTGCCTCTAGCCTGGGTGACCACAGCAAGATTCTGTTTCAAAAAAGTTGCTGAAATTGTTGTGCTTAGGCTTTCATTCAATGCCTGTTAGCATAAAATCTGATGCCTCATCCCACAGATTAGAATTTAAAAAGACTACAGGATTATTATAGGCAAGCACCATGAAGGTAAAGACAAAACGCTCGTATGTGGACAAGTCATAAACATTAAATGGAAACAAATTGATGTTCTTTGAATTGTTAAATTATATGTGTAAAATCACCTGTTTAAGAAGGTAGGTAGATTTTAACATATCAGTAACAATGATCTTTTAAATTTTAATGTCTACTAAATTATTCAAAAATACATTAAACAAAAGATTTTTAAAATTTCTAAACTGTGTGCCCATGCAGTAAAAGATCTTCTAAAATTTTACTGAACACAAGAAATGTTATGCCTTAATTTTCCTATAAAAAACCCAGCAAGCATTTACATCAGGAATCTAATTTACAAAAGATGTACAACAGTGTTTTGGCTATTGCTAAACAATGTAGCAACACATTGTTCTCACCTGCTGAGGATGCTGTATGGATTGTGAAGACGAAACCCCTGTTAAGCTACTTGAGGATGGCTGCCCCTGGCTCTGCCCCTGTGCCTGAACGAAAGAAGCGAACACAACAAATTAGTGAAGGCCTAAACTAAGTGTATAAAGGTCAGGCTTTTGCAATAAATATTTAAGCTCCTAAGAGTTTGCTTGATCAAAATGAAACATTAGCTTGATTATATATAGGCTATGCCTCTAGGGCATCTTCTGTAAGAAAAGTTTACTGCAGGATCCTATCACAGAACATCTTGTGATCCCATCCCATGTAAAAACCCTTGATAGTTAAAACCTATCTTACCCACTGCTGCTCAGGCTATAATTTTAGCTGGCTAGAATAGTCAGATTCATAATAAATTGTTATTAGAAATATAATACTCAGGAAAAAAGTGGTAAGACTATCAATGTGAACATTTTATCTGAACAATTAAAAAATATATTTGATAAAGTAAATTTGCTTATTTTTGATACTTATAATGCCAAGGTTTATAAAAAATCTGTTATCATCAAACTGCTATGTACCTAAAGCAATGCCCTGCCATCCAAGGGCAATTTTGCCAGCCCCAGGGGGCATTTGGCAATATGTAGAGACATTTCTGGTTGTCACAACTCAGGGAGATGGCTGCTACTAGCATCTAGGAGGTATAGACCAAGGATGTTGCTAAATATTCTACAAAGCACAGAATAGTTCTCAACAATAAAGAATTATCGAACACCAAATGTCAATAGTGTTGAGTTTGAGAAACCCTGACTAGCATGTTCCAGTTATCAAGAAGTCTAAATTAAAATAAATGAAAAAGTGAGAAATAGATGAAGGACTATATGTAGGTTAAGGAAATGAAAAGGCTACCACCTTTTGTTTCATTTCAGTTTAGAAGGGGTTCATTGAAGCTTATGGGGATATATTATATTCCACTGCAGCTCAACCACTGTAAGTATTCATTCCCTCTGCAGCATGTCTCTAAATTGACTACCTAGTATTTGAAATCTTACTTTGGAAAGTTTAAAAAAGAATGGCTGGTAATACATTAATTATTGATGGTAGGGGCTGCAACTTGAATATTGATGTGAGTATACTACATGCCCACGAAGTGTCTTTTCAAGTTTCTTGATCTTTTAGCTTCTTCATACTACTTTAAATAATTGATACTTTAGGTACATTTCAGGGTTATTCCCCTGATGGGGGAAGTACATAGGAAGAAAGTAGAAAGAAGAACATAGTAAGTTATAAAAGAGTGGAATATTTAGAATATCCAAATGAGCCTCGAATATATAATTGCATAGTCTCCTATACAGATTTCATAAGATGTATGCATTTGATAAAATATATTAAAAGATTACATGAAATAGTGAACAATGACAATGACCCTACTTCTTAAATTCTATTATATGCATTACTTTACTTGCATGAGGGTGGATATTATGTGTTCATACACAAAAATAACTAAATTTAAATTTGTTGTGGAAAAAACAAGGCCTGAGATGTCTAATGTCCCTTAGCTTGCAATACATATTCTAAATTTTTAAAAAACTAAGCCCACCACCCATTAGATTGTTAATTGCTAATATTAGAATCAGTCCTTAATTTTATTAACATTTTATTTGCAGATATAATTTTGACTTGATGCCATTTTAAAAAGGCAAATTCCTAAGATGTTTCTTTTTTGTTTTTTTAGACTTTTCCACATTAATAAAAATTCTATGAATTCTTAACACTATTCCAAAAAATATTCCCTCTTTTCCATTCTTTTCATTTTATAGAAAAAAAGTTATCTCATACATATTTTTTTAAACTTGTTTAAAGGCAGAAAGTAATACTTGACATTAGTATTCCTAAATACTCAGCGGTGAGTCAACCTTATATTATAGACATTTGCATTTTCACTACTGGTTGAAAATATTATAATATACATAGGGATTGAAGTCATTTAAAAAAAAATTTTTTTTTTTTTGGTAGAGACGAAGTCTTACTGTGTAGCCCAGGCTGGTCTTGAACTCCTGACCTTAAGTTATTCTCCCGCCTCAGCCTCCTGAAGTGCTGGGATTACAGGTGTGAGCCACCACACCTGGCCAGAAATCACTGGTTTTGATGAGTGACTAAAATCCTAGTTTTTGTGTTCTCCTTTCCAAGGGTTTACACATAGAATAAGTAAAATCAGGTAGAATTTCTCATGTTTTGTTTTTTAAATACAAGTAGTTTATAATTCCCCCAAAGATAGGGAAATTGTACTGATAAGATTAAATAATATTCCTCATAAATAAATCCATGATTCAGAGAAACGAGGGAGAGAAAATTTAAATGTAACAGTTCATAGAAGGGTAGTTTAAAAGAATTGTTGAAGTTTTCCTATAACCTGTGGTTGGAGTGCAGATCCTCCTGAAGAAAATGAGGCAGTTAAGACCTGCTGAGATGTGGTTCCTTGGGGAAAACAGAAGAAAAGTGGGGATTCTTGTAACACTGTCTGAGGCAGGCGGATAAAAGGTAATGAGACGTCAGAGCCAAGAGATGCAGCTGCTCCCCCTGTAGGGGGAGGTGACTGAAAATCACTGGGGTCTGAAGAAGTGATTTGTGAGGAATCACTGGAATATTCTGGGCTTCCTATTGGCCAGTTCTGTCCGAAAGGCTCTACCACAGAAACGGTCAATTCTGGGGCATGGTAATTATGCTGTTCTTCAGTCACAGGCTGCAGGTGGCCATGTAATCCAACTGATTGAGGCGGCAGTTCTTCCAGATTCAAGTCCACTGCAACCTGTCGATTTCGGTAAGCACGTTGAGGTAAAATTCCACCTCCTTCTCCTGAAGAGGAGCTTGGTGTTTGAACATGAAATTCAAATACAGAGCTGCTTCTGCTCTCATTGCTATGAGTTAACACAGCGGGTGCAGAATGAGGAACAAGGACAGGGTGAAATTTCAAACATGTAGCATCTATACTGATAGGTGCAGAAATACTAGAGAGGGGAGATCCTGGACTCAATCCAGAATCTGATCTTAAATTCTGAAGGTGTCCTACCAGAAAAGCCTGTCCAGATGGCAATTCAAAGACAGAACTTGAGGCAGGGCCTCCTTGTACCGGCTTCGGTTCAGGTGTCTGTTTCATAGGACTTGACGGTACTTGTGAGTTGTATGGAATGCCCTCATACTGGTCTGCCACCCGGGCCTGGTAATGTACCCCAGCTACATACACTGCTTCCTGAGGAATAAAATAGTGACCTTCTTCTGGAAGTATTAGTCCAGGTCTATAGTCATTGTAAACTTGAGTTGTTTCAAACATAGGATGGACCTGAATCTCACATGGCTCTGTAGTTACTCTACTGGCTGTAGTACCCAACATAACTACAGCCTCTGGTGTCCAGTTTGTTGGGCTGCCACCAGGTGGAAGAAGATTTTGGCCAACAGTCCTCAGCAGGGGTTGGAAGTGGTGAGTTTGGGCTTCCAGGAAGGAGGTGCTCTTACGCCGTTGGGAAATGGCTACTTTCGGTAGACAGGTGGGAGGTGGTGAAAAAGAAACTGGACGTTCATGAATAGTTGGGAAAAATATCTGTGATTCTGGGTATGTTGGGGTCCCCCCAAACGGATGCGCCATGGACTGAGGCTGTATCAACATGAATAAGACAAGTAATTCATACATTCATATGTGAAATTACATCAGACATGCACAACTGGGTAGCTTTGTGTAACTCTATGAAATGGTTACACCAAATTTATAATCTATAAAGAAATAATGCTTTTGGAAATTATGTGCATAGTAAAAATCCATTAAATACATCCAGGGCCAATAAAAACAACCTGTGGAACTCTTTGCATTAGATAAGAGCTGCTTTCCCACAACATTCTTCTCTCAAAGGAAATGGAAGAATTAAACTTTCTAAGGGATTAATTTGTTTTTACCCATAATTAATATGTTCACTTTTAAGAAGTAATATAAATTACATCAATGGAAAAAGAGTTAAAGAAAGAGTAAGAATTAAAAGAAGGCAATAAAAGCCCAACTATTTCGATAATGTATGTTTTAATTTAAGCTATTGTACTAAATCTTCCTAAATTCTATATTCTTATTATCTTGTGCTGTGTTAGAGACTCCAGTGTTATTTTTCTTATCAAATAATAGGATGCCTTCTGACTACAAATCAGAAGAGTTATTTGGTGGACAGTAAAAGGCATCCAACTTGACTAGTGACAGTCATGTCTTTCCCCCCTTTATCCCAAACTAGACACAACTAATAGTTTTACTATTTGAAATATGTTACAGATGACAAATCACCAAATGTCCACTTTTTTGATTCTAGATAAGTGTTGAATTACCATGAATTCTCTGATCCTGAAATCTGGTGTTCAAACCAGGTGAAAGGACAAGAGAAATGACAGCCAACTTGATTTAACAGCATTTTTTTTAAACAAAAGCAGTTCTAGTTTTAAGACTCTAAATTTAGAAACCTAGCTTGTCCAATACAAACAATACACAATATAATACTTCACTATCATGTACTTTCTTTTAAAAGAGATCAGTTTCTTTCTTTCAATAAGAATGACCCCTATCAAGTTAACAATGTGGCTCAACTCTTCATAATAACTAAAACAGGATTTCTATTTTGAACTAGAATGCTCATTTTACTGTTGTTTACTAATGGTGTGTACTAAAGTCATAAAACACTATACAGTTAATCATTCTCCTAAATAAAAATCTGAAAATTCTGGGTTTGCTAGTTCAGGAAAGTTAACTATATTCTGTAACTGGAAAAGCAGCAGCAAGGTCCCACAGTGCTTGAAACAATTTTAAAATACAGATCTTTTATGGACACCAATGGAGCCAAAGTTATACATACTATATATGTATCTAATGCATTCATTAAAGCCAAGGCCCCACACTATTCAACCTAAGAAAAAAATACTTCCATGTGGAAGTAAGACTAAGTAGCCTTTTAGTATGCTGACATATCACTTCATACAAATGATTAAATTAAAACCAACAGTTACTCCTCGATCATTCTTTGCTGACTATGGTAAGAAATGGGCTCATTCAGCTTCATTTAGTGTTCCCTTAGAATAAAGTGGGGAGAAAAAATTATTTGGGTAATGTTTGATAAAAACTTTCTTTTTTTCCTTCTTCTTCTTTTTTTAAACAGGAGTATTAGACAGAAAAATTTGCTTTTAGTTAAGGCAATAATGAGATTAAAATGAAATACACATTTCTTAACTAGGATATGAAAATGCAAAGATTTTATGTCACTGGTGGATAGGAAAGATATAATAAAAGCTAAATTTTACTGGGCACATGATATGTGCCAAGGACATCATAAGCATTCTCTCTCATTACTTTCTTGATTTTTATTCCCCTTCAAAGCCTTTTTTACAAACTTTCCTGTAGGAATAAAGGTATCCTAAAAGCAAGTTCAGTCCTATTCTTTATTCAATTTTTATTAAAATTCTTGATGCCTGGATGTATTCATTGGTAATAACTTTTCATTTGTCAGAAAGTTTAGCTACATACAGTACTGACAAAGAGGGAAGGCAGGCTGGAGCGTCGGTGCTTGCGTTGAGAGGCAGAGTGCATAGGCAGGACACTCTCCAATGCTTTAGAAAGCTTTTCGGCAAAACTTTCCTCAGGGGCAGTCCGAAAGAGGGAAGGAGAAAGAGGTGCATACAGCACTGGTGGTGGGGTGGAAGGAGCACTGGGTGAGATGCAGGACAGAGAGGGAACGGCAGAAAGATGGGGAACACAAACCGACATGCTACGGCCACGATGAGGCTAAACAAAAAACAAACACACACATGAAAACACAGTACTTTGAAAACAAAACAACCAAATATACAGTGATAACAGGGCATAGTTGTATAAAGAAATGTTTTGTTCTCCCCCAATTCCACAATTTTTTTTTTAAGGAGAGATATAACTCCCCAAAGGACACCTGCAGATCAAAACTATTTTCTCTATTCTGTTGGTCAAGTACAGGTTCTTTACAATAATGATCAATTATCATCCTAAATATTCTGAAATAACACCAACTGTTATGAGTGTACGTGTAAGAATGACAAACTGACTGAAGGGAGCAGACAGGGAAAACAACGAATATTGCCTTGTAATTTTGGAAAACAAAGATTAAACAAGAATGAATTCTATTAGTTTAAAGCACATTATAAGATATAGAATATTTTACTATTGAATTATTTTGCAGGAGCTCTAGAAACCTCAGAAAATGATTCTCATTTCTATTTTAGAAGGCAGACTGAAGAAATTGTTGGCTCATAGTATTTTATTTCTTATACTTGCTGATCTTCATTTACAAAGGTAAAAAGGCATTATTTACTAGGAAAAACTTTAGCTTTCTAGAAGAAATTCATAACTGGATATAGGAAACATTTTGCTCTTATGGAGTCAATGGAAAAATGTCTTCAGTTTGTTTCTCTAAAGAGTAACTTCAAAAATTTTTCAGACATATCAGAGATTCTACTAAGGTTTACAAAGTTTGAAGAACCTTATCAGAAAAAGTTTAATACAGCTAATAAGCAGTACGTCTAAAACTGTAAGGTTGTTTTGAGCAAGTTTATTCTTTTTTTAGATATTGTGAACTATGTAACTAATTACATTTTACTTTCCAAAACTAGCTGCCTAGAATGCTTTGAGCCAAATTTGTGGCCTCCCAGTAGCAAGTATATAGGTATCATCATATAGTTATATAGTTTCATTCCCTCATTCCATTTTTCTCTAGCCTTTTTTTCTTTTATTCTAATTTTTGAAATTTCACTTATCATTTGTATATTATTATAAGCCACAGTAAATTCTTTCTGGAATGAAACAGCAACAGAATTATAAAATTTTAAAAAATCCTCAATATTTAATTTTTTAGACCTCCATAGAATATTGTCATTAAAAGGCAAGAAGACACAGTCTGCTTCTAGAACATCAATACACAGTTATGTTAAAGGCTCAAATATTTAATATTTTCATAATAATCATTCCATTTCCTTTTCTAAAACAGATACTCAACATTCATAACCCTGGGATGAATGATGCCAAGAAGCTAAAAATAGTCAATTAAAACAAAAGTAGCAACTTATAAAAAATGCTAATAAGTAATATTTGTCAGAAGACAAAATTATATCTTCTATGCTGTCTTTATGAAGTTCTTCTACCCTAATTATTTTAAAGGTTAAGAAGTAGATTGTTAAAAAATAAGTAATATTTGTCAGAAGACAGAATTATATCTTCTATGCTGTCTTTATAAAGTTCTTCTACCCTAATTATTTTAAAGGTTAAAAAGTAGATTGTTAAAAAATGAGTGCAAGTTTTTCTTGTGTTACTGTGGACATTTGTCTTGAGAACTAGCACAAGCAAGATTGATCAAGGAATTCTGAAACAAATGAAACATCTTTTATTCCAAGATGTAGGATAAAGGATCAGAGCAAGCAGAAGCATTTTCTAAACAGGGAAAAGTTTTCACTAAATGTAGAGCAAGAATTTCACAAAGTTTAGACTAAAAGTTTTCTGAGAAGGAGGGGAAAATCTGTCTGCTTAAAGATTTCACTAAATATAAGTGCTATACAGTAACCACTTACTCTCTAATTCTTTTCTAAGGCAGATGATGTATTTTATTTTCCTATCAAAACTTCAAAGAGCCAACAAAAGAAATGGGGTATTATCTGATGATCTACTTTAACATTCTCTATATGAGAAGCAAGAATGGCTAATGTAAAACATAGTATAATAATTTTTTTTGTGTGTGTGTGTACATAAAATTTATACAAGCATAAAATACTTTAGGAAATAATCTCCATAAGTTGATTCTGAAAATAAATCAGTAATAAAACAGATACCAAATAAAGGGAAAAAGCAAATGAACATATACTGGGGAAGGAACTTGTGTCAAACACAGACTTTAAAGGCAAAAACACATACAGCAACTGATGATTAACTAAATACAAGCGTTAAATTATAACAGTCACACAAATAAAGGATTCCTTCACTCTAAAGTACTCACATGCAACATTCTATAATGGTTTGAAGGTCTTACCTGTATTTTATACAATAAGAAATCTTACAGAAAACACTTAGTAATTATTTTGATAATTAAGCTTTTGAAGAACTATCCTTGCCCCACCCCAAAATTATTTGTATGTCCAGCTTATGCTGATTTCAACAGCTTCAACTCGTAAGTGCTAAAGAGAGCATTACCTTTAGTCAACTACAGACTAGTCTAAATCTTGTATATAGTTGTTTCATGTAGACAGTTAATTCCCACACTTTAATGTGTATACCCTACTCTGCCTGAACTACTCCAATTATATTCTATAATAAACCTATTTCCTTTAGAATATACCATTTATATTTTCTACTTGGATAGCAGAAAGAATTTGAATTTAGCATGTTATCTTTTGGCTCTCATTGTAGTATTACATTCTCTTACACATTTACTTACCACACTCGAGGATGGATATACCCCATGGGACTGAGATTGTGCTTGAGCAATAGAAGCTGTATGCCCTGGGATTGTTCCAGTAGAATGTGCCTGTTCATGTTGGGAACCATATGAAACTGTCTGTTGGCTGCTTACTCGAGATTCTGTGAAGACAGAAGATCCCTGACCACTGTCAACCGTCCCATCAGCTGAAGGAGAAATTAATCACAAAAAAAAAAAAGAAAGAAAGAAAGAAAAAAAAAAACAGAAAAGACAAATCACAAAAAGGAGGTTCACATTTTCCCATCACATTTTTAGACTCATTACACTGGCGTAAATCAGTTATTTCTTTTTACAAACCTGAATGACATAAAAAATGAACTGTACTCATATTAAGTAGATTTCTGTATTTAAATGAGAAATCCATATGGAAAAAAGTTTTAATAGTTTTTCAAAAATTCTCTATTACAGAATCTTATCACCTAAAGAGTAATGGAAATAAAATGGAATATTAAGTAAGCCATAAGCACAGATTTCAAAGTATTAACTATGGAGACAAGGAGGTTCTCATATTAAGCACAAAATAGAATCAATAGCTAGTGTTCTCATTAGTTTTTGGTCTGTATACTATTCAGCTTTGCTAAAAGAGCTCAACCAGATTAATGGGTTCAAATTTTAAGTAGCTAACTTGTTCAGTCTTCATTATAATTCTATTTTAAGGAACTGTGCAAAGTAGAAACCCATAAATTGGAACTTTCAAGATGTTAGAGTCAGCCTATAAAATTATTTTATATCCTAATCACATTTCCTCACTGCCCCACTGTTCTGTGCTATTAGTCTTGGACGTAGGATTAAAGAGAAGATAGATGACAACCATTTCAAGTTTTTCACTACACATTTGATTCATAATTCAAAGCCAAAAAGCCAGTGCAAAATGATAAACAAGATAAACAAGAAGTCAATTAGGAGCATCATTAGCATATCTGCCCACCTCCCAAAATACTTACATAACACAGATAGAACAGCTTGCGGGTACTGCAATTGTTGATGTTGATCTGCCTCAGGTTCTTCAGGTTCTACTTGTGTAGAAACTGAAGCTGAAGTGGTGGAAGCAGTAGGTACACCAGTACTAGCAGAAGGGAGATGCTTGACTCCTGTCTGGGATGCACTGGATTGTTGTTCTACCTGCTGTTTGAGATTGCTCTCTTCCTGCTTTCTTTTCTCTTGCTCCTCTCGTACCAACTGCCGCTGCTCTCGTTTCCTCTTAATTAATGATACTCTGTCTTTGATAGCTTTAGCCATGGTCTTGTGATCACCTTCACAGACATACCCAGACTCTACCTACATGATAAGAGGGTACGTTAGGAAGCTATAGTAGATTGAAAAAAAACAATCCCAAAATACAAAAAGACACTGTAAAAAGAAGAGAAGAGGAGGAAGAAAGAACTCTCTCAAGACTGGTTTTAACCAAACTATTAACTTATTGGTCTGCGTTACGCATTTTCTTACCACCTTTTAGAAACTGGCAGGGTGGGTATACCTTTACTCCTTACAACAGTGTGGAGCAGTTTAGTGTGGGGCAGCTAAAACCACAGTTCCTAAACCAAGTAAGGTATTCTATTCTATTCACTCTATTTCCCTCTCACACTCAAGCATCATCATTGACTTGTGCTGCTTTTACTTCCTTTCACTAGGCAAAGGTTTAAATATCCTCCCCCACCCCATAAAAAACCCAAATCCCTGAAACAATATAAAAAATTAAATTAAAAGTAACCCTTTTATACCTGACCTCTTCTCGGAAGCAACAACTACTTTTGAATGGTTCTTAGAAATCCTGGTAGAGATCTTCTATGAACATCTCTGCATAATAATTAGCTATTTTAGCACTGTGGCAAGTCTAAAATTGGTGAAGGGTTTCCTTTTGGAAAAGTGATCTTTCAGACATACTTTAAATAATGATATACCGAAGCCTACCTACTAATAATTGATCTTGAAAAATCCTTCAAAGTAAAAACAATTTATGATCCTATGTCTATTTATAGGGTTTATCCAGATAACTGATCAAAGACTAATAAATCAATATTTAGAAACATAAGTTGTCAAACTACCTAAAGAAGCTTATACAAATTGGGAGTCCTTACAGACCTTCAAAATGACTTCAGAATGTATTCCACCTCTACCTACCTCATCCATCCATCCCTATATCTATATATCTTTTCTCAAATAAAAATAACTTTAAAAATGACTACAAAATCCAACACCCATTATAAAAACAACACCAAAAAGTACAAAGAAAGGAGTTAAATAAAAATAATAAAATCCTACTATTCAAATGATAGTTGGGGCCAACACAATTCTGTGCCAATGGAATATGCTGCACATACCACTTCATATTTTTGCTTAACAGTATTAACGTATATAAACATACATAAATTTTAAAATGGCTGATTAGTGTCAATTTACCATTTCTTGAGCAACATCTTCTGGGACATCTCTCTCCAAGTCAAAGGAAAACTCAATGGCTTCATTGTCTTTGTATTTTCCCTTTAATTTCTTAATATCTTCAATACGTAGCCATAATTTAATGGCTATCTTTTCTCCATCATCTTCTTCTGCTAATTCTACCCGTACCCCTGTTTCCTCCTGGAAGAAGGCATGGTTCAAAAGGTCTTTGATGGAATATCTTCCAAAGAGAAGGAATAGAAAAGGAACAAAATTAATACACTATTAGTTTGAAAAGATTATTTTCAAATGTTATTCCTAAGAAGAAAAAATAAATGTGAAAAGTAAAACAAGGGAAAGTTTCTAATTCATGTTTTCATTTTTAATTTATTATTATTATTATTATTATTTTTATTTGTTTTGAGACAGAGTCTCGCTTTGTTGCCCAGGCTAGAGTGAGTGCCATGGCATCAGCCTAGCTCACAGCAACCTCAAACTCTTGGGCTCAAGCAATCCTCCTGCCTCAGCCTCCCGAGTAGCTGGGACTACAGGCCGTGCGCCACCATGCCCGGCTAATTTTTTCTATATATATTAGTTGGCCAATTAATTTCTTTCTATTTTATAGTAGAGATCGGGTCTCACTCTTGCTCAGGCTGGTTTCCAACTCCTGAGCTTGAGCAATCCTCGCCTTGGCCTCCCAGAGTGCTAGGATTACAGGCATGAGCCACTGTGCCTGGCCTCTAACTCATTTTTATATTGCTCCTTTTAAGTGGTAATTACAGAGTTTTTACTCCATGTTACAGAACTTAACAATCTCAGTTATGAATAAGAGCTGATAGTAAAAATTTTTAAATGCAATGATCTAATCTTGTTGACAAATAGGGTACTAGTAATGGCAAGTAATGCATAGAATATCAAAGCTTCAAAATACCATGTAATCATTCACATAGAATTTTATAAGTAACAAAAATATCCTCAGATATAAGATCTTGTCTGATCCTTGACCAACATCCAATGAGATACCATTTCCTGACTATTAGGAAATGGAGGCTCAGAGAGGTTGAGAATCTTGCAAATAGTTAAAACTTGTAAATGGTGGAAACAAAACTGGAAAATATATTTTTTGATTTCTAGTTAGGTGCCTTCTACCATAGCATCTTTATTTATCCCCAATAAATTCTCTCAATTCCTTGTTAAACAATTTGTGTACTGTGTTTCTCTGAAAATAAGACCCACCCATAAAATAAGCCCTAGCAGGATTTCTAAGCATTTGTGCAATATAAGCCCTACCCCAAAAATAAGACCTGGTGATGGGCATGGCTATGCAGCATATCTGCACAACCCATGCATTTCATTGCGGAGCGGTAAAGAAGACGAGCAGCCCTTCTCACCTGCCCCATCGTGACAACTACTATCCCAGAAGTGACGGGAAAGTTGCGGGTAGCCCCACCAACAAGGTCGGCTCTCCCTGTCAGGTCTCAGCCATCCTGTGCGTGCTGCAAGCTGAGGCTTTGAGGAGAAAATAGCACATCCCCTGAAAATAAGCCCTAGGGTATCTTGAGGAAAAATAAATATAAGACCCTGTCTTATTTTCGGGGAAACGCAGTCCTAGGCAAGCAGAAAGCTGATTGTGAAATAATTTTTTCTAGATAAAATGGTTTCAAAATACCAGTAATCTAGTAAACTGTTCCATCTAGAAAAAAAAACAGTGTAATGTGTTCGAAGACTCAAAACAAATATTCCTTTGTTTATAGGGGGAAAAAGTTCTTAAAGAGATTAAGAACTCAGTATATATAAAAATAGAAACTCAAACTAAATTTCTACTCAAAAGTCTTAAAGACCATGATGTTTAGCTCTTCCAAATAACAAAGTTGTGAAAAGAATGAGATGGGAGAAGTGGAGATATGGAATTCTTTACTTTGGTTAATATACCTTATTGGTCTCATCTTCAGGCTGTACATTATGCTCAACTTACAATTTATATTTGTACCAGCTGGTCTTTTTCTTTTTTTGGTGGTGGTGGGGGGCGGCAGTAAGTTATTTTTCAAAAACAGACATTGGACCCTTGCCATGCCTAAAGGGTGATGAATCAGTTATATGGCAGATCAGATATGTGCCACTCCTGAGAAAAGTCCTCTGTTAGTACAAATGACTAAGCCAAATATCCTCCTAAGCCTTGGGGCGAAGTCTTCTCTTTTTACTCAAAGGAATTTTGATGTTTCACTCTTCTTGAATTCTGGCACAATGATAGCAAATCAAGACCTGCACAGTTGAGTTGATTTTCAAAAGCAAAGATTTTATTTCACCTTTTAGAATTCAGTGGGTAAAGGACTGAGGAACAGATTTGCTGTGCTGGAGACTAAGCTCTTTTGAGTTTTATAAATCATGCTGATGTAAGTAGTTCTCATGGAATGTGGTGGCGATCTTTAAGGTGGTTCTGGTTTACTTAAAACTCTATAAAACCCCATTTTTATAGTGTTCTAGTATATCTGATTTGAATAACCTCAATGGAGAGAACCTTGCTTTTAAAAATGTTACATGGCATAAATAGAGAAGAAATTAACCATAAGTATTAAACACACCTGAGACTGAGAGTAGTACTCAGAGCACATTATGCTGTAGATTTTTGTTCAAGCATCATAAGGGTGAAAAGAGGCAACTTACCTTTCATCTTTGTTTTGCCGTATGCATCCTTCAATAATTTCCTTCACTTCAGGAATTGCGACTTTGTCAAAACTGGCTGGCTTCACCCCCTGAAAACCATAAAAAAAACCAGAAACACATTAATGAAAGCAGGGCCTTTGAACTTTGTTTTTTAAATTTCCAATTAAGGTCCTTATAGGTTGCCTTCTTACTATGCTGGCTTTTTTTTTTTTTCATTTGCCTAAAGGAGCTGATCCACGCAGGATCAGAGTTGGATAGTGGCAATGTAGTTCCTCTTGAGAAAAAAAGAAGGAACAGTTTGACAGTGTAGTTACTTACTTCCATATGTGGCAATGGAAAAATTTAGGCCGGTCTTAATATCTTCTGTTCTGTTTCAGGTAAAGGAAGTTATTGGCTAAAAATAAGGCCAAATGTTTTAATTGGTTTAGAAGATCTTTTGTTCAACTTTGCTCCCTAACATATTAATAAGTATAGTATTTCACTACTTTGAACACTAAACCTATGTGTGGGCATGAATTCACATGCTTAGTTTGGCAAGCATTATTCTTTAACAAACTCAACTAGTATAGAAAGAGTTGAGGATTTGTATTATTTTGGCATGATAACTAAATGGCAAATTGCTTGCACAAATTAAACATAAAATGAAAAGCAATATATCAGACCCATATGAAAGATAAGCTTTGTAATTAATTTTGGAAGAAAACTCATTACCACCAGTATTATATGCAATACTATGTGGCAGCACCACAGTGATAGTTTTGAAGCTTGATAAAGGATAAATTCTTTAAAAATAAAATTTCCAGGAATGTGTAGAAAATGCACACAAGATATAAGAACAACAACAACAACAAAAAAGATATAACAACAACAACAAAAAAAACCACAGTTAGCTATTCCCACCCCATCTAAGTGACCACATGAGTTAAGAGTTGAAGTAGCTACACTGAGATGTTGCCCAAGGAGTACTATAAGTCTATAAACAGATAAAACAAAGGGAGTCAGGAGAAGAAAGTGTTCAGAAAAAAAAGTTTACTGAATATATATAAATGATAATCATCTATAGTCTCAGTGACAGATAACAGTAAAGCAATTTAGTAATGATCTACTAAATCACAGAGATGTATATAATCTCACAGATCTAAATGAAATACATCAAATGATTAGCTCTTTAAATACCACAGTTTTACCCAAAGTTGGATAATCCTCATCAATTACTCACTGTATTATTCCAAAGACCTGGTTTGGGGAATTCTACATCTAGGGCTAACTTCAGTGCCAAAAAAACTGTGTAGCAGACCTGAACCTAAAGCTAAACCCATATACTTAAAAGGTTTCTGCATCAATGGGTTCCACACCCATGGATTCAACCAACGGTAGATAGTAAATATTTGGAAAAAAATTGCAACTGCACTGAACATGTACAGATTTTCATTAATATCCCTTAAACAATATAGTATAATGACTATTTATACAGCATTTATATACCTTTACACTGCATTAGGTATTGTAAGTAATCTTGAGATAATTTAAAATATACAGGGGATTTGCATAGCTTAATATGCAGATACTATGGGCTACTTTATATCAGGGACTTGAGAGCACCCTTGCATTTTGGTATCTTTGGGAGGTCAAGGTCCTGGAACCAATCCCCCACAGATGCTGAGGGATAGCTGTATTTTGTTTTATATTTGGTTTTGGTTTTCTACAAGAAACATGTGAAATTCCATAAACTTTATGAATGTTATAGAAAAGTAGCTAAAGAGAATATAGAATTTTTGATGAAGAAAAATGTTCCTTCTCCCATAAGCACATACATTTCAGAGGAATGTATTTGGACTACTGGCAGTTAAACTCTTACATATTAAGTTAATAAAGAAAACATAATCCTATCCATGCAAACATATATACATTCGTGACTTTACAAATAGGAATTCCTACTTATATAGAACAAAATAGACAAGATACAGCAAAATCAGTAACTGTGCACAGTATAACTTCAAAGTTATACTGCTTTTCTCAACCTATAGCCATGACTTAGGTATAGAAAATTTGATACCAATGCTATACAACATATTCAGATATTCAGATACTGCTGTCTTAAAAAATGTATTATAGGTGCCAAGGTAGCCAATAAAACTGAGATACACATTACCAGTCCAGCAGCTGGAATTAAAAGATTAAGAGACTGTTTACTGCTACCCACTTAGATACTGAAAAATAGAACAAGGAATTTCACCAGCAACCATCAGGAAGCCAGGATTATCAAAAATACCTAGCAAAGGAATTCTGAATCATAAGAAGAATATATAGTTATTGTATATTAAAGATGACCAAGTGAAAGTTGTGGAGTATGAAACCTCAGACCCTACAAAAAAGTAACCCACAAAAAAGAAGGATGCTTAAAATAAACAATTACACATTTTGATATATTCATACTCAACATACTCTAGGTTTCTGGTTCTTAAAGACATGAGAACTCAATGTATTCTTTTTTAAAAGTTGGTCTAGATTATTCTAAAACATGAATTTAATAAGCACTGGACAAAACAAAGCAATGATAAAATGTTTTTATGATGAAAGACTTCATCTTATTTTCTTTTAGTTCATATACTTCAATAAATATGATCAACTTAAAGCCCAACAATACTCTAAATATCACTCCCCTTTCCTTATTCCCTGATTTAGCCCCACTGAGTCCTATTCTAAACAGTAAAAGCAAAGTATTGCTCACCTATTCTGAACGAGGTTCAAACCACAAACATAAAACAGTACTTAGGTAGATAAATTTGGCTAATATCTTAAACAGAACAAAACCAAAGTTTGTTAAGGACACATAATCCTCTTACTCCTCTAGAGCCAGCAATTCACTGGCTCTACAAATCTTCTTCCCTTACTTTTCTAATTTACAGAAGTTCTCTTTAGGCAATCATACCATATTGAGTTTTCTGACATGGGATAGTAGCTTATTTCTCTATATTCAATGTAAGTACTTCTTGAGAATCTAGTGTACATCCATTACAAGAAACAAAGCCTGTTTCTGCATAATCTTAAGTGGGAGAGAAAAATAAACAATTGTGACTCTACAAAAGCAAATCAAGAGTTTGATATAGATAAATGTTTATCAAGTATGTTGCTTTATTTGAACTAACAAAATAATAAACCACCTACACACATTTTATAGACTGAGTTTTACTTTGAATTCTATATGCTATGTTTTCTAGCTAGAAAAATAAAAGTGAGTCACAACACAGTAGTCTCTGATTCAACCTTCCAGATCGTAAAAATTGTCCGCACTTGCTTTTTAAAAGCTTAAGTTTCAAACGTGTTAGGGTAACATTCAACTATCTCTTCATAAAGGTAAAATTTTTCTAATCATTTAGAATTAAGAAAAGCCTATCTCTTCCTCATACAAAATATGGTGCAAATTAATTCAATTACAGGAACTTTAAATATTTTTTAAAGCATTCTGCAGTTAACAATTTCAATACTTTAACTGAAACTTTCCACACATATCATCAAAAAGGCTACAATAAACCCTTTATATATACTGGAAATTCTTACCCACCTCATTTATACAATCCTTTTGAGGGCAGCAGCAACAATGAGAATTTATGATGACAAATACTGAACAAAAATCTTTCTTTGAAAAATCCATGCGAAAAGGCAAAACAGACTTGTTTTCATTAGAGGAAAATAAGGGGAAAATAGATATGATGTAAATTAGTAGAATAAATTTAGCCCACAGCATAAGGAAGGCAGACATCAAAGTCAGACAGAAGCACTGTTTCTTGTTTAATAATAGCCATGCTTCCCCAACTCTCAGACGTAAGTTTGCTCCGCTCAGCCAACAAGCTATTTATTCTAGATTGGCCCTTCAGACAAAACTACATGCTGAATAGCAGAGAAACTATTCAGTTACTGTTCCTTCTGCTTCTCTGTCAACAGTAATAGATCCCTGAACAAGCAAGATGAAGTTTTTACTTGCTCAATGCTCCACCTACTATAGAGCACAAGTTCTGCCTCCTTGACCTATCAAAACCTATCTTGGAGGCTTACCTGTATATATACTAGAAATCTATTTATCAAAACACTCCCTTCCCTCTAATCATGTTGAAACTGAACTTTAAAATAAAAAAGGTGTTGAATTAAATGAACAAAAGGTAAACTCAGAATATATAGCCAAAAGAACACTGGATAAGGAATCACAACAGCGGAGCTGGGTTCTCGGCTGAACCTATCATATACTAAGTTGGTGTGACCTGGACCATATCCCTTAAACTTACTTGAAAAGTGGAGATAATAGTTCCTCTGTTTATCCAGTGTAAACAATGGTGATGTTAAGGTAAACTGCCTTATCACTCTCTCATAGTATATTTAAAAAAATAAATAGTTGTGAAGTAGTGTTCAGAAGTGGTTAAGAATTAATACTTCTTCCTCTCCCTTATATTAGAAGCCTCAATATGCATAAAGACATTGATTTTCCCAAATAAAAAATGACTTTGATTTTAGTAATTAAGGAAAGATTTTTCTTTATGGCATTAACAAAGATAGTAGAAAAAGCACTGCTCATTGCATTGTTATAATGGGAAATAGATTAAAGTCCTATTCCTTGTAATTTTGTAAGCTTCGATCTGAATTAATTAAGACAGTATATGCTGAGGCTTCAAGTACAAACAGTAGCATAAGCTAAGGGCTTGCAAGCTATTTGGTATGAATACTTCTCTAAAGGTTAGAAATGCTACTAATTCCAACAGGCTATCTTAAAGCAACTGCCACTGATCTCCAGCTCCACAAAATTCACTACTACTAAGTAAGTAGTCTAGGATGTCAGGTATTGTTCAGAAACGCAATGTGTACTGCAAAAATGCAGCACTACCTTGAATTTAAGTGGATGAGCAAGCCTACTTAGGACTATGCTTAACTAAATCAAAGACCTAGAAAACAGGCGCCTTGTTCTCTGCTTCATAAGGTCCATCAGATATACATATGTGGGTAGGTTTTTAACTCTACTGGGAAACAAACAAAACCAAAGTGATGCATTGTTGGGGAGACAAAAGTGTGATATAGGCACAAATAGCTAAATTCTATA